GGGGCTGGAACAATCTCATACAAGGACTACATACTATTCTCCACATCCATGTTAACCAGCATCGGGGAGGATAAACCGATTTTCTAGTCACGGCACCACAAAAAAACACTCATGAGAAAATTTAATATGTATCAAAAGCGGTTTCATTTCATCCTGGGCAGTCTAAATAGCACCCTCAAAAAAATAAACACAACTCTTAACCCAAACAAACGCGATGCAAGCAACCTTGCCCCCCGAAACGAGGGACAAGGCGGTACAAAACTCCATTGTCGCTTTCAGCGTCTATTGCTCGCCACCACCCCGTTGCGCTCAACAACCGTGAGATCCATATAGATGGTTGACAAGAAAAAAATTCATGCCTTCGTCAAACGCCAAAAATACCCGAGCGATACATGATATGTAATGCTTAATCCAGCCCTTGGTGCAAGGCTGGTCAGTCTGACTTACATTACTTGGCCAACTCTTCAAATTCAAATATACCCTGTACAATCAAAGACCCGTGGGACATGTCTTTGAGATATGCCAAAATGATTTGACAATAATATTTCGACAAATTTCGCCGCTCAAGATCAGGAGCGTTTGGAGGACGTAGTTGTATCCTTGTTTGTCTTCCAAAACTGCATCAGCTTGCTGAGACGTTTGGCTTTGCCGCCTTTAGCCTTCTTGCTTTCTGCTTCAGGGTCCAGTGTTACTTCCACCGACAGCTTGCTCCTTTCACCATGAGAACTGCTGATAAGCCTGCTGAGACTAGCCAGGCTGGATCGCCTACGACCAAAGGCTGTAGATGATACCGAAAGGGGCCTTGGCTGTCTCAAAGTGGGTTGAGACATTCGCGGCTGAGGAACAAAACAGCTTTCCCTTGTCGTTGTGGAGTTGCTCGAGGTTAAGGATGGAATATCATAATCGACTGAAAGGCGAACCTCGGGTCCGGGCTCGCCGAGAAGAAGAGAGTGGAAACTGTTTTCTTCATGGACGGATGAAGGAGCCGTCGACAGCCTCTGTGTGTCGACGGAAACTGGAGACCTGGGTACGGACGGTGGGAAGTTGGCCGAGTGGGGGCTAACGGTCGACCCGCCAGCATAAGGAGCCTGGGGTGGGCCAAGTTCGAATGGTCCGATTCCAGACATGGGGCTCTTAGATGATAAATGGGGAGAGCCTTTTGATTCGGATTGAAATGTGTTGGAGTTGAACCGAATCGTGGTTGGCTCCTCAGCAATTGGTGTATCGTGAAGAGATGCCTTTGATCGTCGAACACGGATAGAATCCGCACTGATTGATTCCCTCTCGCTGAGCCCAGAGCTCTTCCTTCGAACACCAATGACCGCGTCTTTGACTGGATCGCTTTGTACGATTGCAGGAGGTGTGATCTCCCCGCTTGAGTCATCAGACATCATGCTGTCTCTACTCTGAGAACGCATACTACTGGTTGTGTCATCCTCCTCATCCTCTTCGAACACATCTGCCATAGTGGATGAGCTGCCGAAGCGATGGATACCAGCCCTAGCAGCATCGAAGGGAGGAAGGTCTGGGGCAGACTCAGCCCTTCGATGATAGTGCATGCCTGGGCCGCTGAAACCCCTCATACCCTGTGCACTATGAAGTCTTCGCTTTCCAGCATTTCCAGCAGCTCGCTGAGCGGCGTCCCATTCGGGATTGTTGGGTAGAGGAGTGTTGAAAGGGCCGAGAGCGGCGTCCAAATCAATCATGGGAGATAAGACTTCGTCTGATTTGGACGACTTGGTTGCGAATGATGGTCTTGGGGGGATGACGAGCGAGGTTGGTGAAATGGTAATTGATGCCACACTAGGGATTGCATCTTCCTCTTCCTCGTTATCGGGTGGGAGGACCGAGGATGGGGGCGTTGGAGGTCGCACGGCGTATTTCGACTGCTTATCACCCTGGTTCTTCGGTTTTCGTGGCAAGATAGATCCAGCCCAACCCTTGACCTTCTTCCTTCTCTTTCTCCTATCCTTCTTCTCACTAGCCGTCTTCGGTGTTCTTTTCTTCGACTCCGCAGCCTCGGCCTGGGACTCCGACTCATGCTCTGAAGACGAGCCGCCGGAGACAGCTCGCGATGCTGAGTCACCAGAACTGGAACTATGTGGGCGTGCTTTAGTAGGGCTGGATGAATGATTTGAGAACGAATCCAGACCGAAAAATGACCACCGTTTCGACGTCTTGGATGGACTAGGAGAAGCTGCCGACATATTCTTATTGGCTTCTGCAATGTCCAGCAGAGAAGGAATCGAATTACGCCTACGAGGTGACGAACTCAATCTGTTTTCTTGAGGAATCCGATCCAGGATCGCACCAGCGGTGCTGGGGCGTGAGTCGTTGGTATTTCGTGAGGGGCTGCGGGACAGAACTGGGCTGCTGGTCCCACGATGATCGGGCGAAGACGCAGACACAAAAGAGGATATACTTCCCGAAACATTGTGACTGGGTCGAACTGTGACGGTGCTGGATGTATCTGTAGAAATCAGGGACAATGGTCGAGGGATAAATTCAAGTGTATCAGAAAATCCAACACGAGCCTTTGATGTAGGCTTTGGATCGGGTGTACTGGGTTCTTCAACAGGTTCGGCCATTGGCGTATCGAAACTCGGGGCTTCTTCCTTGGGCATCTCCTCGGGCTCGGATTTGAAAGTATCGGGGAAGATCAGCGGTAGGGTAGGCGTATGATCAAAATTGGTAGGGCTGTTTGGAGCACTACTTCCTTTGAACGAGAAATCGTGGTGTGGCGGGGAGAGGAGAGATAGATCGTTCGTTGACATGGCGCTTGAAAGTCCTCGACGGTGTCCTCTCCTTGGTGGCATGAGACTGGAAGACCCCGATACTAGTTCTTGCTTAGTCGGGCTGCCACTCAGAACAGCAATCGAATTTCCCTCACGTATCCGACCACCCACGAATTCGCTCCCTCCTCTTCGGTGGCCACCTCGAGGGCCAGGCGGAATAGTCCGTGGTAGCTGAGGGGATGAAGGCAGAAAGTCGGGAGATAGGCCCTCTGGATCAGGAGGAAGTGATGCTCCTGGGTTGAAGCTGAAGGCAGGAAGGGCCGCACGTCCCATGGACTTGTTGTCAAGAGGCTCAGCAGTAAGTTGGTACGATTCTGTCATTGGCTCTACTGCTGACATTGGGCGCCTTCCGGTCCTGCGAGGGAATGTGGGAGTCGACGGAGTCCTTGGGGATGGCATGTCCTCGTCGTCGAGTCGGGCAGGGAAGCTAAAGGTTGGGTTTGGCGGAGGTGCGGCCCGTGAGTAGCTATTGGCCGCCATTGAGTCCTCAACGACCAAAGAGTTTACGCTGGGGTGAGCGAACGGCTCGGGTCCATATGCGGTAGCCATGATTCCTCCAGCCGCACTGCGGCAACACTACAGTTGAATGACTGGAAGATTTATTAGACCATCAGGAGGAAGAGCCGGATCGAGTAGGCGGATTCCGCTCGGTAGGCGTCCGGATTTGCGAGCAACGATCTGTCGGGGTTCCGTTCGGTTCGGTAGGCAGGTTGAAGGGCAATTAGGGTAGAAGTATCCTGCGATGAGATTTAGCAAAACCAACATTTTAAAAGAAACAACCCTTAGTCTCTGACGAGGCGACCATTATTGTTGCTGCATGTCCAGCCTTTGAAGGGCGGGGGGCGAGTTCTCGGGGAGGGCAACCAAACAAACCTTCTGAATATGTAGATAAAATATTGGGCTGAAAGAACAAAAAACACACACTATCACCGACAATCAAACTCAGGCAGGCAAACAAAGGAATGGACGGTCAAGACCAGCCGCAGTCTCGGAGAGCGAGGAGGGCAGCTGGAATCGCACCAGGCGTAAAGATGAAGAAGCGCAACGGTTGCCGGAGCGGCTACGAGAAGTGCGGATGGTCATAAGAGAGGACCTGAGAGGATGGGCAAGAAGAAAACGGGACTTGGGACTTGGGTGGACTGGGCCAGGCGACAAGGAGTGGAAACTGTGGGGGTGCTCGAGGACGGAGCCACAGGCCCAGAGCACCAATAGCAGGGCGGATGGCAGTACGTAGCCCCAAGACCTCGCTGGATCCACGGAAATTGGCTGGTGCTGGGGCAAGACCTCAATTTGAGCGCGCCTTAGAATGGGCCAGGACCGTACCAGTTACGTAGCCGGGCTAGTGGACGGAATTGCCGAATGCGTCGCCTCACGCCCGGGATGGTACGGTCGAGGTACCTGTAGAACGCCTGCACAGCACAGATGCGTGCTTCCTCACTCGCTCCACCAGCCTTTTGCCTCTGTGCAGCCAGCTGCAGGTCACACTAGCGCTACTGTTTGTGTGCATGCAGGCGACCTAGATTCTGCGGCTTTACTGCCCGGACTGTGCAGCACCGTATCGACTGGGTCCAGCTGCATGTCCATTCACATGGACATCCATTGTAAACAATGCTTGGTGCACTGGTGGTGTTCAGCGCCGGCATTGAGGTCGTTAACAAGTGGCGACAAGCTCTCTCCCCATACCCGCTTGGGCCATTCACTCATCTCCCTGAGGAATAGCACTTGCTTGGAGTGGAAGCTACTACATAATACTGGTGTCCTATCTAATCTCCAAACACTCGTACGCATGATAAGCACTTGCTCGTGGTGCTTGTGGATGGGAGCAGCATGCTGGCACCATCTCTCACTTGGACGTTATCGATCGTTGGGGTGGCTTACGGGTCGCACCAGCCCGTCCAGGATCAGAGAATAGGTTAGTACGTAGGCAGCGTATCCGGTTGGTGTATCTCGCCCTCCATCGCCTCTGCGTTGCCTCTCCTCATCTTCCCTTTCCCGGCTGGTACGATGGCCACAACCGCCGCAGCCGAGTCGGCCCATGCACCTACACCCAGGTACGAGCGAGCATGCAAGGGCCTAGGGCACTTCGCGAGGTCGCATAGGTCCGGAGCAGGTAGGCGGTCGCCCAGCCGCTAAGGAGCTGCTAGGTGGTGGGCGACTGCACGTGAGTGGCTCTGGGTCATGTCAGCGGCCGTGGTCTTGCGTCTACGTATCTCGCACTGCATGTTTCAATGCATCATCTCCCTGTGCTCCTTGCTGATCTCTGCCAGCTGCTCCATGGAACAAGCCTCCGCAGAAGCCGACGACCGGGCAACCGCTCGTACGTCCGCGTTCACATTGAGCCAAAGCCTTGATTTACCCAGAGACGAGGACGGTCAATTGGGATGGGGCACGTCCAGATCAGGCAACCCATACATTGGCCCCTGACACCTGCTCGCCGCCCGTACTGCTGCCCACCCTGGTCAGTACAGATGACATCTGATATCACTGCGCTTTTGCCTGTTTTGGGCCTGAGGGTGATGGTTGTCAGGTGAGTGTTTTGGCTGTCCTCGTTCTCGTGGGGTCCTGGTCTTACCTCCCACCTGCAGATCGGATGCCTCACCAATCAGTGCCGTTCATGGCGAACGCTATCTCAATCTCCCCATCCGCATAGTCTGTACCGAGCTCCCGTCTCAATCGGTGCATCTGCGCAATCTATTGGCCTTAAGTTTAATGCTCGAAATGCGCGTGGAACAGTAGTCACTGCTAGCCTGGCGATACATAATTGCTTTTTACTTCCCTTGGCCGCCTTCTTTGTTCCTTCCCCGATCCCCGGGCGATTCTACTAGATTATTGTCGATCTAGATTCAAGTGCCCTAGCGTGAGGGGTTGAAGATGCTGCCTGGTTCCATTGGTCTTTGTCCGCCGTCGCTGTGTACTTGGCATGTACCCCCGTGGGTACCAACACACAAGAGGGTCGGGGAACATCAAGGGATTTGGGGCCCTGAACGGCAGACGACCACCTCCTCAAAGTCGCCTAATCGGCGGCTCACCGCCTAGTTGCTGCTACCTGCAGACATACGCAACCTGGGCCAGAGTTGGCGGCGATTTGAAGCCCCTTGGATGCCAGCAACTGCATCTGCCCATATCAACCTCAATCGCCCATGGCACAGCATCCCTTCCCCCTCCATCTTGGCCGTCAACAGGCCTACTTGCTGGCGACGTAGGCGGGTGAAGACCCTTGCCCGTGCCCACTCTACCCCTGACGAGACCGTTCTTCCTAGCCTCGTGCCTGACAGCCCGCAAATTTCCTGACAGGGGCCGGTACGAGGGGTAGTATTGCACTTCACGTAGCAGTGGAGGCCAATAACACCTTCTGGCCTGTGAGGTCAACCGAACACAGTGGCTGTGCAATGGCCAGGGTCCCAAAACCGGACTTATTAAACAACAAAGCAAAAGCACAGTCCGGTCTGATATGATGATGAACATCGATATTCCCGAATTCCATTATTGTCTGAGCACGTAGATTATTTTTGGTTTTCCTTTTTCCTTCCACCGAACCGACAATTGGGAAATGTGCCTAATTAAAAGCGTCATTAAGCCAGCTGGGCCACGCGTCTTTCTGATGACGGCGATGTGGCTGATGTCGGTCCTGGATATCTTGAGCGCTGGCTACACCCATGACATGGCACGAATATAGTAGCGGTATGAGAAGAGTTGGCCATCGCCTCATCAACTTCTTATTCAGGCACCAATATCATCACCATGGATACCTACCCTTCGTCATCAGTCACAAGACATCTCAACTTGTTGCTCTGGCAAGAAACCCAACCCATGTCGACTCCCCACTGCTCGAAGCCCAAGCATCTTCAGGGATGAAAGGGGCCACTTGGCCACCGATGTCCTGGAAGGCCCCTGACCAGAATTCGGCTTTACTCACTCCAGACAACGAGACTGATCACTGACCAGGAAATCCCACCCACGGACCGCAAATGTGACGACGTTAATAGATAGATCTAAGATGAGAGTGACCCACCGCCGTCCATGCCTCCATCAATGCAATAGAAATACTTGAGACGACAGCCACATTTTGCACCTTAATCTCCCAATGCGAGACAGCTCGGTGAAGCAGAGGTTAAAACTGTGTACCGGATTGTGTACCGGCGCCACAACCTGCGCTAGAGCACTAATACGATCGATCTCTTGGGGTTTTTCTGGAATGTTAGGTTTTGGCTTGCGGTAACGGATGTCTAACACATGTTTGAGCCCGTGGCTTGATAACGCCCCCAATAGCTTACCTCGCGTAATTGACAATGATTACGCACCTTCCCATGTTCTAGCTCTTCGGGACTTTTAAAGTATTTCTTTTTTCCCTTCGCACCTCCCTTTTCCAGCTGCAGCCACAGTCCCGACAGGCCGACGCCACATATTCAATGGGAGATTTGACTCCAACGTTCAAGGATCTCTAATGCCGGCCCTGCAACCCCAGGGAGGATCATTAACGGGTCGATAGTCTTTGTTCCCCTTGTTCCCTTATGATCAACTAGTCTCAATCTCACTTGATTAACATTTATGATTGCCGAGAGCCTGAGTCTCGATGCAACTCACAGAAAGCTCCAGTGATATGGGATCTTTGGGCGCCAGGTGCTTAAAACATGGGCTGAATTAGCCAGGAGATGCGCTCATCGGATATCAAGAGCTCGCTTTGATGTGTCTGATACCAAAGGTCGGAGGCTGTTGGCATTAATGCCAAAAGCTGCCTCTAACAAGCAACCTTCTTAAAGCGATTGGCGAGGACGTGTCGGCAACGAAATTTCCAATCTTACTCTGCTTCTAGTTGAAGATGAGGTTGTCATCTGCCCCCTTGCTTGGATGGATTAGGCAGCCCAGCAACTTCAATCCGCTTTGCTCATGCACATCTACAGGAAAGTGCCATTTCCCCCCCTGGCCACTGGCGGCCACCAGCAAATCTATTTTTCAATGATTTCGGGACTATGTCATGGCAGTGCATGGCAGCGCATATTGTCGGGTGCTCGTACATGACGGCCAGTTTGGGTGGCGGCGAGCATCATTAGCTGGGTATGTTACAATAGTGAGCACCTCGTCAACGCCTGAAAGCAATTTGGCGCAGTGGAAGCGCGGTAAGTCAATTATGAATTACTCATCACATGAAACCCAAAACTAACAAATTCCAGCCGGGCTCATAACCCGGAGGTCCTACGATCGAAACGTAGAATTGCTAGCGTTCTTTTTTTTTTTTTTTTTTTTTTTTTTTTTTTCTCCCTCTCTATTGTTGTTCGTATTTCTGTCTGCTCACATTTAAAATGATGAAGATTCAGACCTATTCATGCCTTCGCTCTATGATATGTTTTTTTCAACTCTAAATCTTTGGCCAGGAACTTGTAGCAGACCGTACCAGCGACCATTTCATTTGAACCGTCAACTGTGTCATTGCTCATCAGGATGGAAATGACACCCAGCTGAACCGTGAAGAAATGCACAGCCATTCGTGTTTGTTAGTTGTATCATATGAACAAGTCGATCTTATTCAGATATACGCAAGCCAATGTCAAAGCCACATCATGGCCGTCAATTCATTATGCCACTCTGCGACGAATGTTCGTCATGGTCCTCTACAGGGTAAGGCAACCAGCAACATGAAGGAAGGAACTTTGGTTTAGCCTGCCAAACTCTCGTCCATGGTATTATTGCGTAACGTGGCCAGTTCGTGTGATGTTGGGCTGAGCAGAGTGAGTATGGCGGGTAAGAATAGTATGGAGCCGTTTCCCAATATAGTAGAAATATAGTAATAAGAGAGGACTCGCCTAAGCTGGGCTGATGTGGTGAAGGAGGTCACTCTCCAATTCTTGGACAGTGGGGAGGGGCTTGATTACGGGGTTGATGATCCTGAAATAGAAACCCACAGTTGTTAGTTTAGGTAGCCACTACCTAGCCGCAGAACATATGTATTAGGTGTTATCAAAAAATCAGAGCAACCCGCAACACTTTCTTTCCATCTCTTCCTCGTCAAGAGGCGACGCCATCATGAAGGTCTCCTTTGTTTCAATTGGCCTTCTGGCCATGCTGAGCCCTCTCGTGGCTGCCTGGAGTACAGAAGGTGCGTGAAAATCAAGATTGTTTCCAGGCCGACACTCCTTTTCCTCCTCGTGCTTCAAACTGAAGAATCGCGAGGTTGTCGCCGCAGCGCGCGTTTTCCGCGGGATACACGGGGGGGCAGGACAGAGCTTTCGGCTAACCTGTGCTGCAGATCGCGAGATTTTCCGCATTCGCGATGAGCTCATCAACAACGAGCCCGACTCCCCTGGCACCTTCTACGACATCCTGGGCATCAGCCCGAGCGCCAGCCAGGACGACATCACCAAGGCCTACCGCCAGAAGACCAAGACGCTCCACCCCGACAAGGTGAAGCAGCAGCTCAAGGCCAAGAAGAAGAAGAACCCCAACGCCAAACCCCCCACCAAGTCTGAGCTCGCCGCGGCGGTCAAGCGCGCCGGTGAGCGCCAGGCCCGCCTCTCCCTCATCGTCAACATCCTCAAGGGCCCCGAGCGCGACCGCTACGATCATTTCCTCAACAACGGCTTCCCGCTCTGGAAGGGCACCGACTACTACTACGACCGCTACCGCCCCGGTCTGGGCACCGCCATCTTCGGCGTCTTCCTCGTGGGAGGCGGCGCGATCCACTACCTTATCCTTTACATGAGCTGGAAACGCCAGAAGGAGTTTGTGGGCCGCTACGTCAAGTATGCACGCGAGACCGCCTGGGGCAAGGGTTTTGTCATCCCTGTTCTTGAGCCTACTCCTGTCCCCGCTGTCGAGGAAGATGATGAGGAGGATGGCCCGCCACAGCCCATGAACAGGAAGCAGAGACGCCTCCAGGAGAGAGAGTCCAAGAAGGAGGATGCTCGCGTTACTGGCAAGAAGGCCCGCAAGGCCAAGAGCGCCAGCGCTTCCCGCGACCCCTCCACTGCGCCGACTGCCGCCCGTAAGAGGGTCGTGGCCGAGAATGGCAAGATCCTCGTCGTTGACTCCATCGGTAACGTCTACCTTGAAGAAGAGGACGAGGATGGTGTTGTCAACGAGTTTCTCCTCGATGTGAGTATCCCACAATGTCCACTTTCACTCTAAGCATTGATACTAATAAATTGTTCTCTCTAGCCTGAGGAGTTGGCTCAGCCTACTGTGTTCGATACCGCTGTTGTGCGTGTGCCTGCCTGGGCTTTCAACACCACCATCGGACGCTTCCTCCCCAAGCCCGCCGCCAAGCAGGAGGTGGAGTTTGATCTCGATGATGACTCGGATGACGCTCAGCACACCCCCGGAACGGACTCTGCTGGTGAGGACTTTGAGCTTCTTGAGAAGAGCACCGACTCTCTTAGTAAGGCAAAGACAACCGGTGCCCAGCAAGCAGGCAAGGCCAACAAGAGAAAGGGAAAGAAGAGGTAAATGTTCAGTTTACGCAGGAGCAATGCCGCTTTCAGCCTGGCTCGGTCTATGTTGTTGACCACTTTTGACCTGCTGAAAGCTCCGCACCCTCTCTTGTGGTTTTGAGCACTGGAACAAACTAAACCATGTTATCTCCCATCTTGCACTTTGTGGTGGAGAATTGATTGTGACTTGGTCGGCCTGGGAGCGGTGGCGTTCACTTGGTGTGCTATAGCTATACCACTTATGACTAGGAGTTGTTATTAGATGAAAAGTTTTCAAATATATGCGATGACCACTCATATTCACTGTTTGTGATCTTGTTTCTTTCCCTTTTCATGGTTTAACAGGCCTATTCTTGGTTCATTTGAGCGTTGTCAAAATTCTTGCCGACATGTTGCTCTCGAACATTGTACGCGCATGATAAGCACAGACGGTGAGTGTTTAATCACATGGTATTGAGAAGAAACGCAGGACTATAAAGGGTATCTCTCATATATTTACTCTCGTATAACGATCTGATATCGCAGAAGCTCAACCAGATCCAGATTACGCAAAATTAAAACCAAACTCGCGCACTTGGCCATTTCTAACATTCATCCTTGAAACATATCCAAAAAGCTAAACCGGGGCTCATAACAGGCTACAGAAGTCCCTCTCAAGGTCCCTCCTTGTGCGGCACGGCGGCGTTCGACTGGGGAGACACGCCAGCGGGAGCCGGGGCCGGAGCCCAAGAATAATGCGGCTGCTGGGGAGGATAGGAGCCGTTCGGGGCAGGCTGGAAGTAGGCGTTCTGGGGCACCGCAACGCCTTGGCCCGGGGCGGGGAAGGCACCGTTGGGCGGGAAGGGAACGACCTGCATGCCGGGGGGAGCGGCGTAGTAGACGATCTGGGGGCCGGCTCTGTTGCGGATGTTGGTCTCGACGCAGCCGATGACGAACAGGCTGAAGTGGCAGATACTGCAAAGAGGACGTAGTGTGTTAGTATCGCGAGGACCCTGCTTTTCTTGGTAAGGGGAAGGGAAGTGGGGAGGTTTCGACATACACTTCGAGAGCTCCGAACGCCACTATGGCCTGGATGGTGCCGGGTGTGTTGTATCTCGAATTGTAGTAGGAGTCATAGTAGTAGTAATAGCCATCGTAAAACCCAAACAGCGCGTACGTTATGGTGAGGGCAACGTAGGCGAGCCACAAGAGAAGATCGATGCTGACGATGGCGGCAGGGTGCATGCCTCGACGTCCCCGACGCACCAGAATGCATATACCCTCCGCAACATTCCAGATTGCTGAGAATGCGGCCTAAGTTAAGTTATTAGCTGGACATTTTGATATAAACCGTGCCCAGGAGAGTCGGGATGTACGAACCGGAGGCACCATGAACACGAGCGCATAAACCCCATCGTAATAACGGGAAGTAGTCTGGTGCGCAGAGAGGCCAATAAGGATAATGCAGAAGATGAATGAAGCTATGCGGAAGCCGATCTTGGTGCCCCATGTCTTCTTGGGCGAGACATGAGGAGGCGGCAGCTGCTGAGGAGCCATGATCTGGGTTGGCTGCGACATTGTTGGTTGCTGTTGTTGAGCGACGACCAGATGAGAGTGAATAAGCGTGAAAATGAGTGAACGCGACTGAGAATAGAATTAGACGATTAAGTATTTGCCCTCTGTCGCAACGAGAGCCAACACCTCAATCAACGATGGATAAGAAAAGAGTGAAAGTCCAGCAATTAGAGGGGAAGATAATGCGGACGGGAGGTGCCCAAAGACGGCCAGCTAGAGGGAAACGAGAGACTCAAACTGCGCCTCGACCAAAAACAAAATGAACGAATGGCGAGGAAGACGATCGGGAGAATTTGGCAGAGCTGAAGGCCGCACCCCTGGAAAAAGTCATGCTAAGAGCCAAGCCCCAACGCCTGGACCTTGCCTTATGAAGCTCGGCTGGATCAGCTGCTAGGCGCGGATTGGGCTAGGCATGACTTTCTGCCTAGAAAAGGAATGCCAAGCTTGCATGTAGGGCTAGTAATAAGCAGTCATCTTATTACTGCCTGGCGGGCGGTTATAATTAGAGTGATGTGGGCTTCGAGCCGAAACGTTAGCTTACCGCGTATTTCGCGAAAGTGGCCACTAAGATTGCCGATGCAAGAGGCCTTTGAGTCGGCAGAATGAAACTCAATAAATGCAGTTCTGGGAGCCTCGAATAGATCTTCAGATGTGTTCTCATTTCATTAGGCTATCTAGCAAGCACCTGACGTTGTGTTAAGCCATGTCTTTGACTTATAGCTAAGTCGCAAGGTGTGATGCGACTTGGGGAGACTCTACCTACCTAGGTAGGTAGGTAGTTCTCTCCCAAATGCCTCACGTCATCTTTCTCGTTGACATGCTCTTCATTCCGAACCTCAAAATCCCAAGGGGTAATATGGCTTGACAAACTGTAGCAAGTTGTCTTCCAAACATCCTCAAACCTTGTTATCGATCACGTGCTCTTCTTCTCGACGCCCCCTCAACATCGGGGCACTGCATTGCCAGCTGTCATGGATCACTCGACAGGTTGGATCACTCGACAGGTCGTGACACCTTCTCAAAGTCCACGGACACGTTCTTGGATGCCACCCGCTTGCCTTTGTGCACGATGGAAAAGTCCAGAGACACACCGTCCGATGCCATCTGCAATTCGTAGACGAGCTGTCGCAGCTCATGTCCTTCAGTGTTCGTCCATGCGGGGAGAGTGTTGAAGCCGGGGATATTCTCCCATTTGATCTCGCAAAGTTGCTTCACTGAATCATCGCACCGAGAGGGTGGTACTTCCGCATCCGAGTATACCAGTTCTGTCTTGATTTCTGTGCCCGGCTCGGTAAAGTCCTGCCAGAAACTTGCCTTGCAGGGCTCATCAGAAATCTGTTCGCCCTGTGTGCTGTATTAGCCCGTCACTGCTCATTGTATTCAAGTTCACTAGTTCGCCACTCACAATTCGAAGAAACCACTGCGTCTGATTAACAGCGAGAAAGTCTTGTTGAATTGGACACCAGAGCCTGTCTCGAGAATCGTGCATTGCCGCATCCCATGGGATAATATTCACCGTGGTGCCATAGCTGGCTCTGGCAATTCGGGACTTGATGGATATAACTGAAGGAGCCCCAGTTGTGGAAAGACCCTGAATAACGGCTCCGCGGGCGGCGGCGGTCCATCTGTTGTTTAAAGCGAATGTTGTTAGCCTATTTCTCAAACTATCCCCCATCCTAGAATATCATGTATCTTCTAAACGGTCTGGGAAGTTGAGTAACTTACGGCTTGTCTCCCCTAGCTTGAATGACAGTCGTAGCTTCGAACGCATTGTCAAGGTATCGGCGGAGGAAACGGCTACTGCCTAAGCCACCCACTAGAATGATAGTCTGTCCACGTGTCAGAAATCTGCATATTGAAAACCAGAATTTGATCGAAGGAAGTCGGATCTCACCTCTGGCTGCCGTTTATGAGCCTTCTTTACTTCTTGCATCTGTTTGCTGAGGAGTTCTGCGCAACTTGCTGCTACAGGTTCAAAAACCTCTCTAACGTTGTCTCTGTTGTTCTTTGTCAGTGTTCCCTCTCAACACAGCAGTAGGAAATTATTCAGGATCAATAATACTCACGGAGTGATATCGACCGTGTTGGGCATGCCTGCTATACCGCAGCCAGCGGGTATTGGGATGGTGTAAGCACGGTCTTCCAAACCGGTAAATGAAGTCTTCATTCCGTCTTCCCAATCAATGTGTAACATTCGGGCCAGAATGTTTACATTCAGTTGATCGTAAGCATTCTCTGGTAAGTAGCCCCGGAAAATCTGCTCAAACCTCTCATCTAGTACAGCAGCTCCGCAAAGATTGCCTGTCGTTTTCACGAGTGGTTAGCCATAGCACTTCACCAAGTGTCAAATATTAAGGCAGCTTAAAATTCGAACTGTGTCGTGTGAGGGGAAACTTACCGTCTCCTTTAACGCATTCCTCAACAATCATAGGGTTATTTTGCATCATTCTATAGGTGATCAAATCCTGTTGGGATGCCATTGGGTCAGCGAAATCAACTCAATCATAAGGGGGTTCAGCGAACAATGTCATTTGGTACTCACCACTGTTCCACCACCAGCATCGCATACGACAAAGTTAGATTGTTCCTGATTTTGTTAGACGAATCCGAACTCGGGAAAGATATTCTTAGCTGTTCTGTGTTCTCACTCACATTGATGGTTATTTGTCCATCCACGTCGGCCAAGGCTGCGAGAGCCGCAGCCTCCGGCTCTGACATCAATGACAACAATGTCTCGCCGACAGGCCTTGGATCAAGGATGCCTGCCATCTTGACGGCTTCTTTCATTCTAAGCCGGGCGTATAAGGGCCAGATCGCAGGCATGGTAACAACTACTTTGAGCTTCACTCTGTTCATTACGGTAGCAGAGACGGCCCTTGTTATCTGTTCCAGGCTGTGAGCCCAAAGTAGGCGCAAGTAGTCTGCAATGACATCCACAGGACTCTTGTTCAGCTCTTTCATCTGAGCTTGTGCTTCGATTAAATTGGGCGCATGACGAAAGTGATCTGGAAGATGTTCACTGTCAAGCAAAAGTAGCTTGAACCATTTCAAGGCTTTCTCGGTTGGAGGGACGGCATATCCCCACGCTGACGGTCGACCCCAAGAATTATAGCAAATGGCGGTCGGCACTTGTGTTTTATCATGGGCTTTTGTCCATATGGGTCCGTCAAAGCTTGAGACCATGTTGAGACCATCAGGGTTTGCGTCTCGGGCCCATGCAACACCGGAATACCTGGAGTGAGGTTAATGGAGATGCTGTCCATAGAGAGGAGAAAGTGTACTTACGTTGTGCCAAAATCGATCCCAATCACAATGTAGGTGGAACACTTGATTGAAGGGTTACGGCCTGCGACACGACCAGGATCTGCCTTTCTTTTCGGCGGCATCTTGGCGACTCGGGAAAAGAACGTGGGATTTGCAAGGAAGAAAGGAGGAGTCTTCCAGATAACGGATTTTCAAACAAACTAGAGCAAGTGGGAGGGATAGGTCGCGGCTCTGCTCGATGAGGAGAAGAAGTTCTGCTGGATGAGAAGAGGAAATGCTGTTTTATGAGAGGAGGAAGTTTTGTTTGATCAGGAGAGATGTGCGGGGAGTTTTTAAGGGAAGGTATGGCGAAGGGGTGGATGTTGGATAAAAGAGCAAACTTGGAGACGAAGAGAAGAGGAAGTGAGGTTGTTGTCAGTTGGGCCGGCAGTCTTCCCCCCGAGGTACCAGTGCACCTCGCTTGTTGAGCTTTCATGGTGAGAGCAAGGTGAGCAGAGCAGCCCCCAGCCAGCTCACCTGTTCGGTTGGCCGCGAACAATGCTGCAGGTCTAGTCTCAATAGAGATGACTAGAGTTGAATAGAAGCGGCACAAGTAGAATAGAAGCGACTGAAGCATAATGGACGGGATTAAAGCACAATCGAGCAGGTTGAAGGACAATCAGATGGACGGGGGCACAATAAGAGAAGGTACGTACCTCCCACTTTATAAACCACTTGCTCCCCTCGCAACTCATCACGCAAGACAAACTTCACCATCTACACACACCATCTAGATCATTTTCACAAGCCTTCTGCTTGTTCCCTCTTTTTTCTGCTACCACTGTCATCCCCAGCATACCAAACATCCCGCGCACACATACAGAGTTCCTCCTGGGCTGGCCCTTGGATCTCAAACATGTCATCTGCTCGTGGTATCATTGATGAGGTCCCTGAGACCCCACAGCCAAATGCAATAGAGCGCCCAGAGGACGATGCTTCTTATTCGTCCCCAGAGAGTACCCATGAAGCCGACTCGGATTACCGTTCTGGAACTACCCCTGTGAAGAGTCCCCCCCCAAACAAGAAAAGGCAGCATAGTGCGAGCAACGAACAAACTGGCGGCTCAAGTGCCAAACAACCAGCTCGCCAAAACAAGAAGCAGAAGGATGCCCAGACGAAGCGAGGCCAGAGCTCGGGTGTAGGACCTGGCGATGGTCAATCACCTCCCAAACGGATCAAGATCAATACCGGCAAGAGCATCGATCGAATTGTTGAAGAAGCCAAAGGCGGATTCAACAAGCTGACTGAGGTCATCAAAGACCAGAGGAAAGAGATTGAAGCCTTGAGGATCCCTGCCTCGAACTATCTCGTTGCGCAACTGAATGAGGAAATCCAGGATCTAAAGTGTAAAAACCAACAACTACAGATCCAAAGGGACGACCTTCGGGACATTATCCAGAAGATAGGAGAAGACCACGAACTTCTTTCTAACCGACTTGACAAGCAACGAGACAATTATCAAAGATACTATGATGGTGAGATCTCACGACAATGGACACGATTGGCAGGTGCTATTCAGAATCTGTGCGTACTCGAGCTCAAGACACCACCACCAAAGGAGGCCAGCGCAGACGAGCCGAATTTCATGGCCCTTATCAGAGAGAACCCTGGCAAGACGCATCAATTTCTGCAGCGATTTGTTTGGGCCGGACTCTATAGAGCGATATTCCGAGGCGCCGGTGGGATTTGGTGTGGAAACATGTCATCTGCTCTCACCAAGTGGCGACAAGCTGTCACTGGTAAGTGAATCGGTCTCTCCAAATGCCTGAGAGCTACCCTGTGCTGCTTCTAACACGTTGTCTTGGTAGAGCAATGTATCAGAGATCCATCTAATGGCCGAACTTATGCGTGGGTCAAGTCTGAGGCAGCACATGAACTCTTCGACATTTTGGGGGTTGATGTTGAGGCCAAGACCCGCCTCGCCGATGAGATTGCATCTAAGATTATGCCTCTTGCTACCGACGACAAGGAGGACTCCTGTAAGAACCAGCTCATGAACATTATCGACAAAGCGATTGATCTCCAGACGATCTTTATGAGATCCAAAGCCCTGTTCATCGTGAAGCTCAATGATCCTGCTGGACTAGCTGAGGAGGAGATTGATCGAGAATACTTTGGGCCTGGAGCCCCAGGCGAGAAACCTTATACGGTAACTCCGGTTCTGGTCAAAATTGGGAACGCAGATGGCCATGATGACAGCTACGGTACCCGAAGGGTGGTTTATCAGGCACGAGTTATGGCGATCTAGACGGAGCTGTATAGCAAACTCTGTGCGGCGGTTGTGATTCGACCCCTTGAGAAGTGATATTCGAAGGCGCGATGCAAATTTGTTACAGTTTTAATCTTTCGTTGGAATTTTTGGTTTCGAAGTCTGATTTAGTCATGGTCCTCTTCTGCCAACCCTGGGCAGCCTTCCATCTCGGAGGTCGGATAGGCGGCCTTACACCAAAAGCAATAGTTATGATGTGAGCGGAGATAGTCTAGAAGGCGGCTCAGGCGCTCAGAAATCTCCAGTGTGTTAAAATCATCTAATTCTGCATCCTCCTCGTCCAAATCTGCACTCGTGACGTACTCCTGCCGCCCTTTCCCTAGTGCCATCTTTGCCTCCTCATCCTCATCCTCGTCCTCATACGTTGGTAGCCGCGAGAGAGATTGTTCCAAGTCATACCGCATGCGTCGATCACGTTCTTTCTCTGCGCGGTGACGGATAAGGCTACGGTAGAGAACCGGGATGGCCTTCAGAGGCCGACTAGCCATCGGTACATGCGTAACCGATGTTTCCTTATCCTTATGTGAAGGTGTTGAATCAGAGGCTGTGGCGTCTGTTCCCGCGTTGTCCTTTGTTGACTGCTCGTCGTCCAAAGTTTCGGCCAGTCTCTGGGCAGCGTAGAATTGCTTCTCCATCCTGGCCTCTTCCCTCTCTTTCCTGACCCTGTCCCTGTACTCCAGGGGGTCTACTTTGACGCTCTTGGTGCCCCTCTCTTCCTGCGCTTCCTGAAATTTCCTCTTCTTCTCAGCGTCGAGACCAATGCCTCCGCGGTCCCCCTTGATATCGACCTTGATCGGCTCCGTCCGCGCCTGGCTCTGCCCGTCCTCGGCCTTCTTCCCCAGACTGCCGCCAGCGAAGCCCATCTTGGCCATCATCGCCAGACCTTTGCTCTTCTTCGCCCGCGGATCATCCAGCATAGAGGTGGACAGCGCCTTTTCGCGCGCTGCGGCCTCTTCCTCGGCGAGCTGTGCCTTGGACTTTATAATGCCACGGGCCAGCGACTCCTTTTTGAGGCGTTGGGTGCGCTGGATCGAGGTCTCCTTTGCTGGCGTGGGATCCTCGAATGTCATGTTCATGTAGTCATCCTCTTCTTCTTCATTGTTGTCAATTGGCGGTCTGGACCCGCCAGACTTTGACAAAGTGGGCGCCATGATGAATCTAGTCGATATGAATTTGACGGTTTCCAATGAAACACATGCAATTCATAAAATTATGAGATTTTTTGGGCTGTGTTGTTCGGGATTGTTGTTCATCATGTAAAAAGCCAGACCGGAGCTTGTTTAGGCAGTCGCTCATATTAGGTCAGCAGATAGCCTCACTTAGACCTTCCATGTCTAAAAAGACGACGGCAAGCGCCCGCTCATCAGAGTATGCCTTGTTCTGCCTGAAACCTAATATTATTGATTAAGGATCTTGTTACGGTGTTTATGATAGAGGGCTCAAGGGAATGTAATGCAGAGGACCATTGAGTCTCATATTACAACCGTATACAATGTGCCTTTACTGTGTCACTTTACAACATGATCCTCACTTGCACTAGCTTTCATGAAATACGCGGGTGGAATAATTCTATAAGCGGATATAGTAATATGCAGTATGCCAATGAAGCTGAAGCCAAAAGACTGAAATTTTTTCCTTCCATGCACAAGCTGTCTACCTGTTCCTCGAGCGCTTCCTCGCCGCCTTTTCCCTCTCGTACGCATTCGCCTCGCGCCCCTCCTCGCTCTGGATCTCCGCCACGAGCCTCTTGTACTTCTTCTCGTAGGCCTCGTCCTTTGCCTTCTTGATCCGCAGGTTCTCCCGGGCCATGAAGTTGGCGTCCTTGCGGAGCTCCCGCATCGCCCCCTTGCGCTCCCGCTTGTGCTCCTTCTTGAGCTTCGCCAGCTCTGCCCTCTCGCGGTCCGGGTCGTAGTGCTTGTCCGGGTCGAACGTCTCCTCGAACTTGGGCACGTACGTCTTGATGGCCAGCGGCTTGTGGTGGTGGAGCTCGAGGGGCCGTCGGGAGAGCCCTGAGAGATTCATCATGCGCTCCAGCTTCACTTGGAGCTTTTCGGTCCGGTCGCGCAGCTCTGAGGGGAGGTGGGAGCGGCAGGCCTTGGCGTTCAGATGCTTGATGACCTCGAGAACCTGGCCAAAGGTTTCGATGAACGCACCCTTACTGGACCATGTGTCGGCTGCAGCATCGGAAATCTGGGAGACGGTATGTAGGATAGCAACCTTGAGTTCTACGGGCGAGCTGTCTGAGTGTAAACAGTCCGAGAAACCCAGCTTCCGGACTGATACCTGGCTGGCACCTTTCGCCCGGAGACTTGCAGGAGAGTCATGTCGAGGAAAAGAGCCCACGCCAGCCGATGGGGAAGTTGGCGCAAGGGCACAGAGCGTGTTCAGCGCGAAGTTTAACACTTCCGGTACATATCTCTTCGCGAGTTTCTGGTACTGGAGTGTCAAAATAGAAAGGTAGGATCCGATAGCATGATCAGCGAGGTCCTGCGGAACTTTTTGTCCTAGATACCTGGCAATGACCAGCATGGCAGGAGTAACGACTTGGTGGAAGTGGTCAGAGGTGGGAAAGATGGTTCCCACCGCAGTCAGAAGGATGAGATCCCCGGGCTGGATCGCCAGTGGGCGTTCATTGCTGATCTCTTCGATTTGTGTTCGGAATTCTTGAGCAATTTCAAGAGGGAAGCTCTTTGCAAGGGAGTGGATATGACGGATGAGACTTTCCAGTACCGAAAAAGGGGGTGAGGTCTCTGGGTCCCAAGGCGATGAGATGAAGGCAACCAGAGCGGCAGCAAACTTTCCAAGACGCTCCTTGTTCTTACTGTCCAGCTTGGGATGATATAAAGCTCTGATCCGTTGGACAATTGTAGGTAGGCTGGTGCCAGGGTATGAGGCTGTGACAGATTGAAATTCTTCGAGGGATTGAGGGCAAGGGAAGGTATAAGGCAGGCCGTTCTCATCGCCCTTCTCGACATCAGCTGACTTTGTTGTAGAGTCTATGCTGAAGACGGGGTTTCTTGATTCTTCTTCGTTCAATAGACCTTTTGTAAATTCGTCCTCTTCCTCCTCTTCCTCGCTCTCGTCTTCTTCGGCATCCATATCCGAGCCTAGGTCAAGTTCTTCGTCGGAGTCGATATCAGAACCACTGGCGACCAGGTCGTCATCGATGATGAAATCGTCCTCATCGTCAAACCCAAGCTCAGCAGCAGTTGGCTTTGCGTTGATGCCCCTACCAAGGCCGAAGTCGTCTTCTGAGTCGTCACCGGCCTGCGAGCCGTCAGAGCCCATTTCTTCGTCCTCATCCTCACCATCGCTGTCAGAGACAGATTCGCCCCTCATTCGCTTCTGTCGCTTCTCCTCGAGTTCCTTCAGGCGGTTGGACTCGTCCTCTGCCTTTTCCTCCTCGGTCTTGGTACGATCAGAGGGTTTCGCCCTCTTGTCTTGGGCAAGCTTCTTCACCTGGAGGTCGAAGTCCTTGTCAAATACACTTCTCTCCACACCTGCGATAGCAGAAGGCTGGGGCTTTTCTTCGGTTTGGCGCTTTGAGCTCTGAGTCAAAAGGTGCTGGATGCCGTGTAACTCTTTGTCAAGTTCGGCTCGTAGTTCCTCATCCACCTCCTTTGCGGCTTGCCTCTCGTACTTATGCATTTTGGACTTGGCAATAACCTCCTCCATAACCTCTTTCTTCGACTTCTTCCGCTCGGGTTGGTCGTCTTGATCCATGTCACCCTCGGCAGCCATGGCTCTTACTCGCTTCAGACGCTGCATCTCGCGCTCCGAGACATCACTGGCACTGTCATCAATGTCATCCTCCTCGTAGTCATCCATTGCATCCATCTCATCAAACGTCAGCGCTTTTCCGCCGTGGGTCAGGCCCTCTCCGGGGAAAGCGTCGTCGTCGTCCTCGAGATCGAACATGGAAGTCTTTTTGTGAGTTTTGAGCTTTTCCCGTGCAAATCGCTCCAACATTTTCTCCTCGGGGGCCATTGTCGGGTCATTCTCTCCGAACCGTCGATCCAGAATGCCTCCAACCTTGTGGCGTCGCTGCATGTCGACAAGAAGAGTCTGCCGCCGCCTTTCTTCGCTCGCAGCCTTGGCAGCGCCGGGACGGCCTTTGATCCTGGAGGCGGCAGTGACTGGGCGGTTCGTAGTGACCTCGAATTTGGGAGTCTTGGCATGCTTGAGATCGAAAGGGTTGAACTGTTCGCGGATGCCTTCGAGGACTACACCCCTCTGTAGTCGCTTCTCGCTTCGGGCGCGATCATCTTGGGCTGCCTTGCGCTTCTGCTTCTTTGACTGCTGGGGCCCGACAATTCCTTGCTCCTTCAAGGTCGCCTTGAGGCGCTTGAGCTGGGAGCCCGCCATCTTAATTGAGAATTGGGTCGAGCGCGGTGGACTACGATAGGTCTTCGCTCTGCATTCGATAAATGGACGGATTTGCTATGAATTTTCTTTGGGTCGTCAGGCTTATCGATAACAACTTTTTTTTGGTCCCCATCCAGCTGCTGGTGGGGCTGTTGGAAAAGACGACAAAAAGAATGGTGGACTTTTAATGTCTATCAGCATGTGTAAGTCCGCGCCCATCCTCCGACTTGAAGGTAATAATCATGCATATGCTCCCTATCGGCCAGATAGCCTCATTAGTTAGCTTCGACATCGATTAGCCACCTGGCGATTAAATATTTCCACCTACCTACTTTCAAGTCTTTGGATTTACCTCGTTTTATCCAGAGCAAGAACCGTAGCACCCTTTCCAAGTAGGTATCTTTTTTGTTCATCCTTTTTCACGTACCCTCTTCATTCTAAAGCCGTCGGGCCATCTCCGATGAAGCTATTTGCTTGTGACATGCTATGCCCACATGAACTTTGGGTCTCAATATTAGGTGCCCCTCCTCCGGCACTTCCCAGGCAATAGTAGATAGTCTGTCGCTGGTAGTAATCGGTCAGTGGATATATTTCTCGTGTTGTTGGCTAGTAACATAATATGCATATAACGTAGAGTCAAAGGTTGTGACCACGTGGGGGGCGGAATCACCCAGAATTGTGGACGGAAGGTATTGAGATAATGCGTGATTAACCCATTTCCGTAAGCTTACCCGTTGGCTAATTGAATAGGCGTTCTTGTCCTGGGAAGTTGGCCGATAGAGAAAAGCCTGAAAAGGGTAGAAAGAATACATGTTGGTCATCTGCCGCTTGAACAAGTCTGCTTCCGGATCAATGCCACTTTGGCCGTGCTGAGTGACACATCACTTGGCACAACAGCCACGATCGACTACCTTAAATCAATCTATAACTAAGCATAATTCTGAAGTGTCTTCTGCAGCCGAAAATCAATTAGGATGGTGTTTAGATGGGTGGTGTCTCCGGATGCCTGGATCATCTGGGAATTGGTTTAGGGTAGTGGGGCCGGGCCCGAAGAAGGATAAAGATTCGTACCCCGACGAACCACGTTGATGAATGATTGGCATCGGCATGGGTACGGCCCCAATACCGCAACAGACCCGATCCAGAAACCTGCCAGAAATCGGGGACGGTGGAGATGCCACGGCCGTTTGTGAGATGTAGAACCGAAATGAGATGAAATGAACGTGCCTTGAGCAAACAGACCACGCCTGGCGGATCTTCAATGCACGAGTATATTAAGCACTCCCCTTGCTAGGTCTCTTTCTGACTTGATTGGGGTCTTCTTTCGTCCTGCAGATCCTCTTGTTCATCTGGCTGATCCTGTAATCGCCTTACAATCCTTAATTGATTTTCTCTTCACTCATTTATTCGGCCGTAATACTCGTCTTACGCCTTTTCCAAAATGAAGGGCTTTCTACTCACAGCAGCCCTTGCTCTAATCTCCCCTGCTCAGGCAATTTGGCCTGAAGCAGAGGGCAAGTCGATCGTTTACTCAGCCGTTCCTGGCTTCTTCCTCCAGGATGACAGTGCCACTGACCCAAGTGGATTTGACTATGTGAGTGAAAGGTCCTGTCCGAGGAGCTTGCTCCCGGTTCAAAAATGGTTGTCTAATACAAAACCACCTGATAGGCCAAGCAGAATTTTGGTCTCATCAACAGGACTTACTCTACTGATAAGCGTTTTGACCCGGCAGGTGTCAAGACCCAGTGGCAGCGGTTCGAGCGCTACATCACGAAGCTCACTAAGGCCTGCAACAAGGACCCCAATGTCCGCTATAAGCTTCTCTTCATGGGCCGCCATGGCGAGGGTTGGCACAACGCCGCCGAGACCTTCTACGGAACTCCTGCTTGGAACGTGAGTATTACCAATACTGAAACATGCCATGTTGCCGCGGTTTTGTTAATATATCGGGTCTTCCTTAGTGCTACTGGGCTGAGCAGGAAGGCAATGGAACTGCCGTATGGAGCGACCCTCTCCTCACCCCTGCTGGTCTGCAGGAGGCCTACAAGGCCAATGCCTACTTCAAGGATAGATATGCGACTCAGAAGATGCCGTATTTCGAGTCATACTACTCCAGTCCTCTGAGCCGATGCACCATCACGGCCAACTTGACCTTCGGCGACATCACCGTGCCCCAGAACAAGCCTTTTGTCCCCATTGTCAAGGAGGGTTTCCGTGAGGGCATGACCATCCACACCTGCAACCGTCGCTCGACCAAGACTTACATCCAGAATATGTTCCCCTGGTACAAGTTCGAGGCTGGCTTCACCGAGAACGATGAGCTCTGGCACAAGTCTCTCGCCGAGACCAGCGCTGCTCAGGACGTTCGTTCCAAGGAGGCACTGGATGATGTCTTCCGCCAGGACGACAAGACATGGCTTAGCATCACCAGCCACTCTGGAGAGATCACCAGCCTTCTGAGGGTCCTGAACCACCGTTCCTTCCGCCTGTCCACTGGGCAGATCATCCCCGTTCTCGTCAAGGCTGAGGTTGTTTCCCTCCAGCCAGAGCCTACCTATGTCGCCCTCGAGCCATACTCCACCTGCACATCGCCGCCCTTGACCAGCAATGCTGCTCAGGGTTGTGTCTGCTCGACACCTGGTGCTAGCTCACTGACTCCCTCGGCTACGCCAACGCCCACCCCCACCGCTACCCCATAGATTGTATGCGGAGAAGCATGAACCGAGCGAATCTCTTTGTGAGATGGAGGATGAGAATATAGTAATGTAAATAGAAAATTGATTGCAATTACCGTGAGAGGGTGTCGACGGTTCAATCGCTAGGGAGTGTGCTGTCCTCGTATTGAAATGAAGTTGGGGTGTGAGTGTTGCTTTGCTGTTGATGGTTTAGGGAAGCAGCAATACAAGCTTGACAAGGCGAGGTAATGCAGGGACGTTGAGCTGCTACGGAGGCTTGGGAGGCCTAACGGGTTAGGTAGGTATGTGGGGCAAGTGTGGATGACGGCCCCCACGCACCTGCCATCTGGTAGCACCTGCTTGTTAATTGTCCCAGTCAAAATACAGAGCTCCAATTCATGGATGGCCATCTACCTTATCCAACGCATCCATATCAGCCTGGACCATCCATGCTTGGACTCTTCCTTTGCTGAAACGGCCATTTTGGTCCATCGTGCCTTGCATCATGAGTTGGCTCAGTAGCTTTAGGTTTTTGCTCCGGGATGAGCGCGTCATCCTGGCTGGCATCGGGCTCGCCACCTTCGGCATCGTCAGCACCATGACGGCCGCCTTGACCATACTCCGCGATGAGAACATCGTCCCCATCCAGCTGCCCAAGACGCGCTATATCACCCAGGACACCGAGGACTCCCTTGGGCTTGACACACTTGAGAGGCTCCTAGAGTACCCGGGCTCCACCGTTCGCGATGTTGCCACTCGGATTCTCTGCGAGCGCGCCGTCAACAACCGAGAAGTCATCCGCTATTTGCTCCATGGAATCACGCGCCCAGACTACGATGAGAGGATGAAGGCCCTTCGGGCATTGGTCCTTCTCACAGGTCAGGCTACCGGTACGGCTATTTCCCCTGCGCCAAACAGCTGAACTGACTGGGGTCCCGCTGTGTAGATTTCGATGGTTTGGCAAACCTGAACAACAAATATGCCTATCGTGCCTTCGTCAGATCCATAGAGCTTAGCCTGGGTGATGCGGAGCGCCCTAAACTCAACGATCACCACTGGGATGAGTATTACCTCCGTGATGTGTCCGAAAGGCTCTGTCTAATGTTCATTCTGGAGCTGGTCAACAAGTACGATGCTCAAAAAATCATTAGAGCTGGGTTTGTCGACAAGTGGCTGGCTAAGCAAGATTGGGGTGACAGTCTTAAGGAGAGGCAGTACAACTTTGCGGAATACATGCGCTTCAAAAACAACCGCATCGTCGACATTGTCACTCGCATTCGATGCTGCAACCAGGGCTTACACGCCCTTGCTCTCGCTTCCCTTATCCCGGGATCAGAAGTGATTGGCTTCGGCCGGCCCGTCGTGGTTGACATGTCGATCCCTGCACCGGAACAGCAGGTTCCACGGGCAAGAGAACAGTCAGTCGAGGAAGTGAGGCTTCGGCGCCAGCATCGCGAAGCTATGGTTCTGAACGACGGGACAAGGCCCTTTGGCCGGGAGGATATTATCGAGAGAGATCAGAGCTCTCCGGACTAGGAATGAGAGCATCTACTTTGATGATTTTCTTGAGCTCCTATACCCGAGACCTGCAATTGAATTACAAAGCAGCCGGAATAGCCCATTGGGATTTGTACGAATACGCGTTGCATCAACTTTCCAGCAGTTGGGAGCAATATGCATATATGCTTTGAACAAGCTGTCCGGAATATCCAACTCCCTTCTGTAACCAAACACCCCCGGCATGCATGGGCGAATGCGGTACGATTTGGATATCAAACCACATCGGGCCCGAGCGTCTTTAGTTTTCGCACACACACGAGCTCATTAGAGCGGTAGGATTGATTGCTTCCATACTGGAGGTAGCAGCTTATGGATAGCTGATTGGGATGTGAACTGATTGATGAGCATAGCTTATTCGCTACGCTGTGACCTTCTCAGTCGCTGAGGACTATGGATCTTTCGGCTCCATTCCGACGGAATGGTGAGATCGATTGGCTCGAGAGTGGCACATTGTGGCATAGCGTTTGTCTTCTGGGATCGTAGGTGGAGTTGGTCTAGCTTATAATTACTATGAACCGCATTGAATACAATAATTACGAAGTGCGAGTCTGGCCGGTAGAACTATGTTCCATGTATCAGAAACGTAGCGTCGTACGTGACACTCCTGAGGTTGCATGTCTCAGACCTGCCGTTGAGACTCGATGGTTTCCTGATTCTCCATCTTTGGGTGGCGCACCTGACATCACCAATTGGTCTCCGGGACATGGCTGCAAGTGTCCCAAAGTGACTGGACAACAGCCGAAATGGACAGGTTGGGCAGTACCTCCCTTTTCTGCATCCTTGTTTGATGGAAATCGGACGAAGGAAGGGCCCCTTCGTGGAGTTTATCCATCCATGATGACATGAACTACGGTGATGATCCACCTCAAAGATGCCTGCGGTTGTCTTGCACCCCAGCTGATGACAGCCGATAGCAGCTGCGCCGGAACAGCACCTTGCTACCCCTCCACCGCTTGTTTGAGTCTGGGAGTTGCCCGGAGGAGAGATCCAACGGAGCTCTACGACGATAGCAGCAAGACCAATTCTCGAATTGAAATCTCGTCTCCGGGCGACCTCGGTTGAGCCGTGGGCTGGACGGCGTAGGCAGGGAGAGCTCCCAGATCGAGCTCTGGCGGGGTGCATACGATGAGATGCAGCTACAGCAGGTATGTGCTCGGTTGCTACTGGAGACTGGCGCCGCCTGCGAGGGATAAACAGCCCAAGCTGCAGCAGGTCAGACAACACGCGCAGGCGAGAGGAACCAGTCTCCGCACTGGGACTGCACCAGACCAGGGCGCTGCAGGCTCGCCAGCAAATAGTGTCGTCGAGACGAAGGGCCCCGGACTCGATCAGCAGTGGTAGTTGGCACCCTGCCGCTGCAGATGGATAGGGGTGGACAGGCGGTGACGGGGCCCCATCCCCAATGCTCGACGCAGGTTGGACGGAGGGCCATGTACGATTATGTGCGGATGGCGACGGCTATGTACGAGTGCATGCTGGTGTGCAGCAACGAGCCAGGAAACGGCGCTGCAGAAGCGCTGTCGGGCAGGTGTTTAAGGTAGGCAAGTGCCAGCACCAAGTAAACAATCGTCGGCCAAAACAACAACAAGCCTGAGCCTGCTCCACGACAAAACACCAGCTGCGGCCGGCTTCCTCTCCTTCTTTCCACATCTTCACCCCTCACTTTCGCTTTCCTTAGCCTTTTTCCTTTCTCTAGTACTAACCCAGCAGGCCTTTACGCTCTCTCCGCACACGCACCCCTCGTCGCTCGCTCACAACCAGGACGCCTCCGGATTTTGCGGCAGGGTTGTGATCAGCGCACGCTACGTACAACCTTGAATCGGATCTTGCGCACCACCACCACAGCGACCGAATACGGCACGCCTATATATCTGCAATTTCACAGCTGCAAGACAGCCCGAATCAAGGCCCTTCCGACCTTGTGTGTGTGTGGTTCCCGGTGTCTTATTTCGGCACTCCACCCCGCGAAGAGAGATTGCGCCTACGAGTATGTTTCTGATATCTCCTTCCCTTCTCATACAAATACAAGTGCCTATCTTATCTCATGCTAATTCGTCTGCTGTGGATATAGTGCTTCATCGCTCCCGAGTTGCTGGCGATTCTTTGGCTTAGAGGCGCCGAAACAAAAGAAGAACAAAGTCACCATCTGCATCCGTACCCGAAGAAGAAAAGGTCGGCTGCAGGCGGGAAATAACCAGTTGCTGGGACAAAGAGCAGAAAAGGGGAGACGAGACACAACAGGCCGCGCCCCTCGCAGCCAGAACCAGACTCCAGGGAGGCTTTGGCGCCACGGTCCCTGTAAACTCTCCTGGCCAGCTACCAGGCTAGGCCTATTACCCGCTACGCTCCAGCTGGCAGGGACGCCAGCGCAGGTACAGCCGCTGCGTGGCAACCCCGGAACCCACCCAATCTGACCCGCTAAATCTCAGCCGCCAAAATGTCCTCGACAACCGCTGCCTCCTTCACAACCACCCTCCCGTCCTATCCCCCTGTGCCTCATCAGGTCCGTTCTGCTGTCCTGCCACGGCCCAAAACTCCTATCAGGCCCAAGACACCCATCGCGAGACCCAAGACGCCCGTTGCGAGACCCAAGACTCCTGTTGCGCGACCAAAGACGCCCGTCGCCCGGCCCAAGACACCCGTCACTAGGACTAAGACGCCTACCATCCGCAAGTCTCGCTCGTCGCTGCGCAGACCCTCGACCGCCGTCTCTACCCCGAATCTCAAGGCCGCGTACGAGAGACAGTCCAGACGGTCCCCTGCTCCGCCCCTTCCGCGGAAATCTTCCCTCGCCGCGCTCACGCAAGCCTACCTCGCGAACCATCCCGATGTCAACATCCAAACCCACGACTCCATACTAAGCGACTGCACCACATCTCAGCTGAACATAACTGCCAACCGGAAATCCAGGGACAGCATGGCTCCTACAACGCCAGGCAGGCCGGTTGGTGACGACCTGGCTGTTGGCGACACTGTTGATGTCCCCGGCTCTATGCACGGCGTCGTCCGCTTCGTCGGTTCGGTCCAAGGAAAGAAGGGCGTCTTTGCTGGTATAGAGCTTCACCCTGAGTTTGCTCCGCGTGGGAAGAACAGCGGTGATGTAGATGGGTAGGTCCTTTCATCTCTCCCGTCTTGCGCTCTTCACGGCGCCCCCTATAGCCCAACCAAACGCACTTATATAAGTAGTACCGTGCAACATGCTAACACAAAACTATTTAGTATCTCCTACTTTGCAACCTCTGTCCCTGGCGCAGGTATCTTTGTTCCTGTGTCCAAGGCTCTCCGCAGAGGATCTCCAATCCCTTTGACACCTGGCACCGCAGGGCTTAGATCGCCTCACTCGGGGAATTTCACGCCTCCTACACCTAGTCTACCTAAATTCAGTCTCTCGGTCGGCCCAGGTGGCAGGGCACCTGGGCCGAGGACCTCACTTCCCCGACCGGATTCACCGGTTCGGCGGACGGCAATGACTCCGAAGCCCTCGATTGCGACACCCAAAGTACCGTCCAGGTATGGAAGCCCAACGAATGCGCAGGCTGCGCGTTTCGCTCAAAGCATGCGCGGCACGGCTGGCGATCCCAGCAAGAAGTTACCACAGTTTAATCAAAGCGTGGGCCCACGCAGTGCCTCTGCACTTGGCTCTGTCTCGGGTTATGATGATGAGAACAAGCCTGCCGGACACCGGGCGCAGGCAAATGGGAGCATCGGCTCAGCATCTTCTCTTGCTGGCAGGGCACGTCCGACATCGCGTGCGAATGGTATACATGAGGATGAGGTTGAGCGGCTACGAGCACAACTGCAAGACCGAGACCGTCAGCTTCAAGAGCAGTCAGCGACTTTGTCCGAAATGGAAAGCAGCTTGACCGAACTCCAAACGTTGATGGAGCATGCCGAAGGACCGGTGTCTGTACGGAATAGCTTTGACGACAAAGACTCCAGCCAGCTACGCCAGATCTTGCGGGAGAAGAACGAGAAGATTGCTATGCTCACCGCTGAATTTGATGCCCACCGGGCCGACTTCCGTAGTACGATTGACGCTCTCGAGATGGCCAGCACGGAAACCGAGCGGGTCTATGAGAAGCGAATGGAAGAGCTCATGGGAGACATTCGTGAGCTGGAATCGCGGAATATGGATGTAGAGTCGGTGGCAACCCAGCTGAAACAACTCGAGGAGCTTGTCCAGGAGCTCGAAGAGGGTCTTGAGGATGCTCGTCGCGGCGAAGCTGAAGCTCGAGGAGAAGTCGAGTTCTTGCGAGGGGATGTGGAGAGGACGAGGACCGAACTTCGTCGTGAGCGAGAAAAGGCCGAGGCAGGTGGCCTCGACAAGGACAAGTTGAAGGAGCTGGAATTGAAGGAAGATGAGATTAGAGGTCTTAAGGCTATCATCCACTCACTCAGTCGGGACTCAGTCCCCGCCGAACCACCTCGACCCAGACGTCCAGGCTCACTGATTCCGGGTGATGCCATTGAGAACAAGATTGCTCGCGATAACCTGGAGAGGCAGGTGGCCGAACTACAGGGGATCCTCGAGCAGAAGAGCAAGCGGGAAGAAGAGCTCGAGCAAGAGCTTGAACGGGTCAGGATCACCAATATCAACCCTCAGCGATCCTCTTTCAGAGACTCGCGCGACACCGTCGTCCTTACTAGCAGGGGCCATGACAACGACGCTACTCACAAGCGGGGATCAGCTATGGCTCCCATGGCCGAGAGCGATGCCAACTCCAGTGCAACTGAGAATAGCACTCTTTGGTGCGAGATCTGCGAGACGGCTGGCCATGATATCTTGACCTGCACCAACATGTTTGGCCCAGACGGTGCCAAGATGACCGCTGAAGTCAATGGAGAGAAGACCATTACTGGTGATGCCCTGAGGGTACAGGACGGCAATGCTCACCCTGCCCCTCTCTCGCCTGTCAAGTCGAAGAGCCCCGTGGTCAGCCCGGCCGTCAAGGTCATGCCCAACCCGATGGACTCGGGCCCTGTTCCCGGAAAGGAGAGCGGTGTGATGGACCCTGAGAAGTGGTGTGCGGTCTGTGAGCGTGACGGACATGACAGTGTTGACTGTCCTTTCGAGGATGCTTTCTAAGCGCGCGGCTCGTCGCCGCATTTTATTTCCTTATTTGTCACATTGTAAAGAGACATGTGAATATGCTAACTCAGGCACGATGGATGATGGATTGAGAGTGGTCATGCTTGATGCAATGAAAGGCGTGATGAAAACCGCCTACACGATCATGTTTTGCGTTTATTTGATCCACAAATTGGTTTCTCTTCCTCATATCTTTTTTTTGCGCTCTGCCATAACTAGACATGTGATGATACAAATGTGTCTATGGACTCCTTGATTTTGACATTCTTATTGTATAATTTTCGCTGTCTTATGTAGCATCAAGGAGTTCAAATTGCTGGTGGAACCAGAGAATAAATTTTATCAGATAATTATCCAGAGTATCTGATGCTTTGTGTTGATGTGCGAGTTAAGAAGGAAAACGCCTGCCTCAACTTGACTGAAGCCATCTCATTTTCCATTATATTCCCTCTGCCAGGGACAGCGTCTTCAAGGTTGGGCAAAAAGCCTGTTCATCATGATCCATTGAATTAAGGTCTTCAAGCTTGTAGGAACGGCCTATCTTCTCCCTCTCTTTGCCTCCAAGTAGAGACTACCAGGGTCGTGGCTTTTGCATGTAACCCGACAACGGGCACTTATTATACTCGTTTGGCAACCTTGACTATAGGTAGGTAGCTTCAAGCGAGGTTGCTGTTTGTTGATATACATTAGACATGGCACATGCCGGGTCTCAGTCGAGAATACTGGCCGCCTCGCTCTTGGCGGCCTTCCTTCCCTTGTAGGATCTGATCCATACAGTGTTCTGTATGTACTAGCAATGACAAACAACTCAATTTCACATGAAGTACTTCCTTCTTCGTGCTGTTTGAAAGCTACTGTGAATTAGATGCTTTCTCTCAGGGTTACTTTTCTATCTAGGTAAAGCAATAGAGACGATGTAAGACGATGAGAAGAGCATCGGGTCCGTCAGATAATAGGTCAAATCAATAGATTCATGTCATATGTCTACTTGGTCTGCCGCTGCTTAAAGCTCATTGAATCGTCTATGCCCTCTAAACGCCCGCCCCAGCACTTTCCGGAGCCCCCTTTGTCTTCCAGCCCAGCACCATCTGTCCATAATCCCTGCCACCCCTCGCCCAAGTCGACTACTAGAAAAAAATCAATGTAATGGGACGGCATTAAAAACAGCGCTGTATGGACTGTCTCGTCTCCTTCATGCTCAACCACCCGAACTCCTTCATCGCGGCAGCTGGCCATCGCAACGTCATGTTCCCCCCCTCAGATTCCCTCAATTCCTCCATGCTAGCAATAGGAAATGACCACCCCTGTTGCCAAAGCTTTTCTAGGGTTGGTATCAAATAATCGTGAGGGGGTGATGAATTAAATCAAAGAAAAGCAGAAACGTCATGCTCAGATGGACACATAATCAACGAGTTTCCCACCGTGAGAGAATAGGATAAGTACTCAGTGATCACCATATCTATCGCGTGAGAGCCAAGGGAAGTTCTTGCCTGTTTCAGCCGAGAAGACTGAAAGGGAGGTAGGGCAAGAAGGGATAAGCGGGCCCTAGGAAGGTGTTTCTCCTGGCGTGACACCATTCATGTCCTCGAGTCCGGATCTCTCACGTCTCCTGGCTTTTTGGGTTTCGAATGGTTTACTGGGAGGCGCACTGGACGCGCTCGGCACCAGGGTGTCCATCCTCATCATCCTCGTCCATGGCACCGGCACCGAAGCCGCGGTTCTGTGAGGTGTTGTCCGCATCTTCAAGATCCGCAGGCTCAGTCATAGCTTCGGCAGGCGGAACATTCTCGAGCGAAGGTGATGGTAGATACTTCCTCAGGGCTTCGAATGCGGCCTCGTCGTCAGTCCAGTTCTTCTCGGGGAACTTGATGTTGAAGCGGATGTAAAGGTTGCCAAAGTCGTGGTGGCGGTACGAAGGCATACCCTGCCCACGGACCATCTTGACAGCATCTTCAGGATTGTTAGTATTTGGCTTACACAGAAAGTTTTACAGCCGGAGCTGGGGGGACGTCGTACCTTGTGCGATAGCCTCACCAGGAAGAATGTCGACGCTCAGCCAGCGGTCATCGAGGTGCTCAATGAAGATGGTACCTCCAGCCAGAGCTGTGACAAGCTCAATGTCGCACTTGTAGAGAAGATCATCCTCCTTACGAGTGAACCGGGGGTGAGGCTTCTCCTCAATCTCGAAAACGACGTCACCAGCCTGAATACCAGGAGCTTGGTCACCCTCGCCTCGGAACTCGACCTTGGTACCGCTTCTGACGCCCTTATCGACATGAACGTGGAGCACCTTGCGGTCGACGATGGTCTTCTTGCCGTTGCACTGCTTGCAACGATCCTTGTCCTTGATGGTCTCACCCTCTCCGTTACAGTCAGGGCAGACGGTCTGGAAGCGCTGGATCATTGGGCCCATCTGGCGCATCATGGTCTTCATACCCTGGCCGTCACAGCCAGCGCACTTCTTCACGGAGCCCTCCTTGCCACCAATACCGCTGCACTTGGGGCAGATAATGGACCTCTGGAGAGCGAGCTTTGAGATCTTGCCCTTGTAGATGTCCTCAAGGGCAACCTTGTGGGTGTGGTGGATCGTCCGGGCCTTGGGAGGGCCGCGGCTGTTCATACCACCACCAAACATGCCGCCCATGCCACCGAACCCGCCGCCGCCGAAGAACTGGGCGAACAGGTCCTCGGCAGCCATGCCGCCACCGGCGCCAGCACCTCCCTCGAGACCGGCCTCACCATATTGGTCGTATATTTGTCGCTTCTGAGGATCCGAGAGAATTTCGTAGGCGTGGGAAACCTCCTTGAACTTCTCCTCGGCATCAGGGTTGTGAGCGTTCTTGTCTGTGTTCCCGACCTTCCCGTTAGTTAAGATATTCTCGTGGCTCGCAGGAAAGAGGGATCAGCGCCGTACCTGGGTGATATTTCAGGGCGTTGACCTTGTATGCTTTTTTCAGTTCAGCCTCAGTTGCGGTTGGGGAGACCTGGAGAGCGTTAGTGTAAGAGAATGCCTAATTTTCCAACACACCAAATTGTGGAGAGAAATGGGGAAATCACATACACCCAGAGTGTCGTAGAACTTGGTATCCTTCGCCATCGTGAAGAATTATGTGTGAATCGGTTGTTTGTTGTGTTCAGAACGGCGGAAGGAGGGGGGATGAGGGTGTGTAAAAGCAGGCTGTGCCTAAAGTCCGGAGAGTTTGTCAGCCTGATGGTTGCTTGGAGAAGAATCACCGAGCGGAGCGGGAATGGGCTGCGCAGAGGTCGAAATCTAGAGCGGACGGTCGCACGTGTGCAGCCTCTGGACGTCTGGTAGGGTTTCGAGCGTACCTTTTCCTCGAGAGATGGGTGAAGGGGAGGAGGGGAGATTGTGGTTTCTTGTTGTTGCGCGGTCCCGGGAAACGAATCGGGCTGGCGTTGATCTTTAAAACTTGGGGCTGGCGGGGCTGAGAGAGAAATTTCAGGGTAGACCAAGCACTAAACTGCCACCTAACGAGGCGCCGGGTTCAAGTCAGTAAAAGGGCAAAGATAACCAAGACTCTGCGAGCAGGCTCCGAGTCAGTTCAGGATGCGAGGGCGGCCACATACCATCAAGGACAGCGACGGAATCCTTGTGTGAGTATTACGATGAGATTAGGAAGAGGGAGAAGTTGTGCAAGCTTTGGAGAATGGGAAGTATAAGCTAGTAGTATGGAAGTATGTAGATATCCGTCTGAGAGACAGAGCACAATGCCGCTGGAACACCGTCGGGCAGGCTGGTATCTCGCAGGTAATGCAGCGCTGGTTAGGCTGGTGCGTATGCAGGCGCTGGGGCAGACAGGTACTTGCAGCGACCTTGGACAGCGAGAGAAGAAAAAAAAAGGGCGACCCTGCAGATCCGCACCGAAGTTCGTAGCGCCTCATGGAATTGTATCGAAGAAAGTCGATGCTGTGGCGAAGCTGACTGGCTGCGCTGCCCCCGTCGCCCGCGCCCACCCCCAGTGTGGCCCCTGCTGATTGGAAGGTTCCATGGAGGGGTGATGCGGGCTCTGCGGTCATACCTGGTACGTACCGGAGCCAGGTACCTTTACGGCGGCAGCCTGCAGCGCGTGTACAAGGTCCTATACCGGCCGGCAGCCAGGGAGCCCAGCCCAGCTCAGCACCCACCGCGGCCTGTTGGTCGCCCGCACGAAACGGACAAAGGCGATACTGCACGAGATGGAGGGATGGATGCCCTTCGCTGCGAGAGCAACAAGGCAGAACAAGAGGCTTATAGTGCATGATCCATTTTGGCTTTTTTTTGTCCATTGTGCCTTGTAAGCCCAAGCACCGTGGTTGATCTCTTGCCCTTATTAGTACCTATCACCTGCTGTGTTACACTACCAGGAGTGGTGGTAACAATGAGCGGCCAAAGCGCAGCGGCTGATGCAATGCAGCGCCCAGCACTTCACAACATGGAACAGCAGTACTAGGTAAGAATCAGGTATCAGCTATGGTCTGACGCACCTCTCTGTATTTGTCCATTTTCTGATACGAGACCGAATTATATAAGCGCCATTAACATCGATTCTGCCTTCTTATGCTGTCCGCTTCTCTTTGCGACCCAGATGGACGCCTTCTGTTGACTATCGACTGGGCCGCATAGCCCGAGACCAACAGCCAGACAAAGTGGGTGGCATAAGAGATGAGACACCAAACTAGTACTTCAAGCCTTCATAACAGGAGAGGCTATATGCTGCATATTAAGCCTAAATCACCCTAAAAAGGCCAGAAAAAAGCCATAATATAATTTAAAAGCCAGAGAAAGAGAAAATGCCCTTCTTGAGATTTTATTATACCTCTTTTGCGGCATTGAATGGCTCAAAAGAGGGCGCAAGAATTTGGTATCTCATCTCTTATGCCGCCCGGTTGGCAGAGTCAGCCTCTGATTACCCACAGACAGGCACATTAAACAGTCTTGAATCAAAGAAGCAAAAAAGTTATATATACAATATGAGGAAAATTAAAAGTACACATAACACGCCTGCTCCATACCTTCCTAGTGAGATTAGTTAACCAGGGAAAATTTCACACCCAAAAAAGAAAAGTAAAGTAAACACACAGACCCCTCCGCCCCCAGGTCCCTCTAGTTCCGCTCGTAAAGCTCCATGAGGCTCGCCTTGATGTCCTCCACGCTTGGGGTCTGACCCTTGGACAGCTCGTCGTGGAGCTTCATGATGCCGGCCCGTATGTTGGTGACCTGGCGGTTGTGCAGCTTGTTCTTGTTCTCCACCGCCTCGACCCGCCCCTGCAGCTGCGCGATCTTGGTGTCCTTCTTGCTCAGCTCGCCCCTCAGGAAGTCCCTGGCGGTGACGATGCCCTTGGTCTTCCGCGCCGAGCTGGTCAGCGCCTCGCGGACCGACTTGAGGGCGTCGGGGGTGAGGCTCTGCCCTTGCAGGAGGGGCATGACCTCCTCCGAGACGTCCGGTACGACGGATCCAGGTGTTCTCGGGGTTGCGGGCTGTGATGGTGTGCTTGGCGTTGGAGCGGCGACCGTGGCTGTGGTGCAGGTTGACGGTGTCTGGAGCTCCGGGCTCTCCTCGAATGATACCGTCTTGTGGCGTTTGTTGGATGAAGCTGGGAAGAGAGTCCGTGTGACAGACGGCGTAGGAAGCCCACCCAGCACATCGACATTTCGTTGAGTCGCTGGCGTGATGAAAGGGTCATGGCGAGCAGCCTTCTCCTTCCCCTTGCCCTTTCTTGAGCTAGAAACAGTCTCGTCGACCAAGGCGATCAGCTCCTCGTCCTCTTCCGAGTCCATGCCATACGCGGACTCCAGATCTTCGTCTGTCTCGAACGCATCCCGCTTTCGTTTAGACGTCGAAGGACACGGCGTCTCCATGGCCCCGGCACCGTCCTCGCCCGGGCGCCGGCCTGGTGTGACCTGAAAAAACGAGGTCAACTGCTTCTGAGTCTCCGGCTTCTGCTTCTCCAGGAAGAGGTGCTCCTCTGCCTCCTCGGGCTGGAAGTTCGTCTCGGCCCGGCCCTGAGCCTTGCTCTCCCACAGCCAGAACCCACACGGGTGCGAGTCTAGGATGCACGTGTAATAGAAGCTGCCTTTATTCGCACTCTCCTTCTTGACCTCCCGGCGGGATGCTTCCCTGCGGCGGGGTCTGCAGTTGCCTGAGGAATGTCATGTTAGATAAATACACAATTGGGCAAACAAAAACAAGAAGCGTGGGCGATGCGCCCCCAAGTTGAATAATGTTTTGGAGTAGATGACTTACAGTACCACTTCCCCTTGTATAACAAGCCATCGTCCCGACTCTTCTCAGCCGATTGAGGCTCAGTCTGCGAGGCCCTCTGCCGATTGCGCTGCCGACCGGATCTCTTGGGCGGCATCCTCCCGCTTCTTGCATCTGCCCGCGCGACGCCTACACCACTCTTACTGACACCAGAAATCGGGAAATTCTCTTCTTTGAACACAAAAAAAGGACTCAGGACGTTGTCGGACGAAAAGCGTCAACAACACAACATGAGACCGTTGCCCGGTGGGGAAAGAAGGTGGGAGGGGGCGCGGGAGCTAATAAACGCCCCCCCTTAGGTCCTTTTCTCAACCGTCCAGCCAGTTTCAACCTCAGCTGAAAAGAGGTGGCTGGCAATGTTCCACAGCCCACCGAGCAAGCCATGGCATCCAACCGCGGGCGCTTGCATCCTGGCGCCTGCTGCAAGGCAATCACCACCAGAAGGATTAGTTTAGATTGGGAAACGGATCTGGCGCAAAGACGATCATTCAAAGCGACTCTTGAACTACCTAACCAAAACCCCTCCTCCCGCACCGCCTTGCATGGTTCTATGGCGGGGGGTTGCTGAGGGGACGCACATTCTATCTAGATGCAGGCACTTTTCCCTCTCGCTGTTATGTTCATTGGTGCTTCGTTTCATCATTCTATTTAAATCCCTTTTAATTTTTCTTTTGGATCCCGTGCCCTCCCTGACGCTGGAAAGCAATAGATAGATTCCTGCCGCTCATCAGGCTCTCGCCGTCTCACAGCACCCACAGCACCCCCCAAGCCAAGAGGAAGCATGTCCCTCTGACGAACGAAAAATAGTATCACAAAACGGTATTATCAACCATCCACTTCCCGTAGCCCCCTCCTGCCCAGTTCAACTCCTCCAGGTAAACCATCCTGGTCGGGTTTTCATGATCTCCTCGCTCTTAATGCTGCAGATTCTCCATCATGTAGTTTTTTCTCAGCTTAGTCGTCATTGTCCGTTCGCTCCCGCTGTTGCCGCCGGCCGCCCTGGCCGCCGGTGCCGGAAGTCGCGCTATTCAGCTTGCGCTCCAGCTCCTGCGCCTCGCGCTCCTTCTGGGACTTGGCGCTGGCCTGCTCCTGGCGCAGGACGTTCAGGACGTTCTGCATCGTCGACTTCCAGTGGTCCACGCGCGTCGCGAGCTCCTGGTACTGCTTCTGGCCAAAGACGCGGTACGTGACCTTGTGCACGAGGAACTTGTTCCGCTGCTGCGACAGCTTGCCCTCGACCAGGCCGGCGCGGATCACGTCGATGGCCCACATCTCGACGTCCTCGACGGGGATCTGGAGGGCCTTGACGATCTTTGCGTACTCGATCTCGCGGCTGGGCGTGGCTGCGGCCAAGCTGGAGAATGTGAGCAGGCGCATCTTGCGGTGCAGCTTCTCGTGGTCGAGCTTCTGTTGGTCGACCCAGCCCTCGTGCTCCTCGTTGAAGTCGTTGTAGTCCTCCAAGTCCTGCTCGGCGAAGATGTCGAGGAGTTGAGAGTAGACCGGCTGGGAGTCGCTCAGGGCCTGGACAGAAGGGATCGATCGGAGGTCTTGGAAGAGGAAGTGGGTGTTGGAGAGGAGGGCCATGCGCACAGCGCGGAGTGATAGTCTCTGGGCATCCTCAGATGAAGCGTCGTCCTTTCCATCGGCGTCGAATGTGCGCAAGGCTTTGAGGATGAACTCGTAACTTTGCCTGTGGTAAGATATTAGCAAAGAGACGAACGGTAGATGTGAGTGAGGGGAGGGGCGCCCTTCACGCCCTCTGCGGCCTCAAAAGATCGGAATTAACTCACTCGTCCTCGCCAGCTTCCAGGGCGACGTCTGCCACCTCCTCATAGAGCTTCCTCTGGTAGTCTACTGTAGTTCCCCATGCCTCCATCCACTCGGGTAGGGTGTCCAGATAATGCTTGAGGCTTTCGAACAGGTTGTGCGCCTTCAGGAACTTGAGGATCTCCATGAACACGCGGGCTCGGATCGGGTCGGTGGGCTCGAGGAGGTTGAATACAGTGGTGAGGGCATTCAGAGAGAGCCCAACGCCGTGAACGGGAGAGGTGGTGACGGGCTTGGAGAAGATGTTGCATAGTGTCGGCAGGTGCTTCTTGGGCTCGGCAGATTGCAAAACGAGGTGGATCAACAGGTTGGACGCGGCAGTAAACTCCTTCTCGGGCACGGAGAGAAGGCCAGGGGCGGCGGCGACCAGCTTGACCAGAACCTCCTCCGTGGAGCCCTTCTTGTCTCCTTCAAACAGCTGCTTGACGTCCTCGACCTTCAGGTAGTCGGCCAGCTCGACAGCGAGTTCCTCGAAGGATCCATCGGCGAATAGCAGCTGGGGCTGCCCAGGGTTGGTGGCGGCGGGCATCGTGATCCCGAGTCTGGTGTTTTCCGGTCGAGTCGAGTCGTGGAAGTATCGGCCGTTCGGCTTGCTGGGAAGAATACACTCGTCAAGTGCTCGCTCGTCCTCCTGCTCGACAGTGAGACCCAAATCAGTGACTGGTTTTGCGCTACGAATAATTCGTACAGCCTCTCGTGAAGCCCTGTAGTGGGGCGCCCCCTCCAGTCATGCCCACCCCGCTGAGTTTTCTGCCACCTTCATTGTGTGGGCGCTAAGCGAGGGCGGTGACCCGGATTATCTGCATGCCGCCCTCTTTTTCGTGCCGAAACAATCATTTTTATGTGTTGGAATTAGCTATCTCCAGATATTCATGGGCTAAATTTGACTTTTGCTGTCCCTGTACTTCCTCGATATCATGAAAATGGCCTTGGTGTTGTAGTACCTCATTTCCCATATCCTATATATCAAAACCACACAGATAACATCGCCCTCCGAGCGTGAGCCAAACAATCCCACACATATGAAATATGTGACCTAACAAAACGCTGTGTATCCCGATATCCCGTGTCAGGGAAGGTGGTTGATAATGATTCAACCCAGCCCAAAAAAAAAGCCATTATTAAAAGCACCAAATTGTGATGGAGAAAAACACAATATGCCGAAACCTCGATCAACCAGACCTGACATGTATAATAAAAAAAACAAGTTGTGTCAACAATTAGCTCTCTTCAGCATTCACCACCACTCGCCTTTGCCATCTATTTTTGCCTGGCGGGAGATTTGGCAACAACATCCTTGGCAGGATAGATACTACCATTCTCGTCTTCTCCAAATAGTTGCTGGTCTCCCTTGCCACCCAACTCAGCAAATTCAGCTGGGTCCCTTTGATGGGCAGGACCGGCCTCTTTAGGAGCGTTAATAACACGGTTCTTGTTTTTGGAAAACACCTTGACAGGGTCCTGACTGCCACTGGCATCAACCTGGGTGGTGACAACATCCACGGAGTTGAGAGTTGAGAGCAAAGTGCGCTCTCGGGCTGGGGCCCTGCGGTTGACCTCAAGCCCAGCAATGCCACCGACAAGTCCCCCAGTACTGTCGTTGACAGCAGGTGCCTTTTGAGTTAACCAGGGATGCGCAAGGCACTGATCAATAGTGTACCTCTTCTCAGGGTCAACAACCAGCATTGAATCGATCAAGTCAACTATTTAATCGTTAGTTTCGAGATCGTTTTGAGGGTTAGCACGATAAAACTCACGAGCTGGATCACCGACTGAATCCCAATAAGGTGAGGGGTAATCAAAGCGCCCACTTCTAATCTGCTGGGACAGGTTGTAGGGGAAGTCACGGGAGAAGAGCTCGTCCGAGAAGGGGGGGAATCCACAAAGACAGATGTAGAGAACGACTCCGAGGGACCAAACATCGACGGCCTTGGTGTATCTGCGTCTCCGGGAGTCCGCAAGAATCTCGGGAGCCACGTAGCTAGGAGTTCCGCACAAAGTAGTCGTGAAGGACTCTTCGCCAATGATCTTAGCAAGACCGAAATCGGCGAGTTTGGCGTGAAGATTCTTGTCTACAAGCAAGATATTCTCAGGCTTGATATCTCTGTGGACGATATTTCTTTCATGCTACAGGCAGGTTAGTGACATTCCGATGGGTGGGATAGAAAGGGTTGTCATTCTAACCAGGTACTTGATCCCCTTGAAAAGCTGTAGGAACAACTTGCGAGTCTCATCTTCGCTCATCTTCTGCTTCATTACAATGTAATTGAATAGCTCGCCCTCGGATGCTAGTTCTAGAACCAGATAGACACGATCACGCTCGTTGAAAGTATCTTTCAAGCATAAAACATTGGGGTGGCTGACACCCATGAGGACGGCGATTTCCTGCTGAAGACCCTCAGTCTTGGACTTATCCTCCACTCCAGGATGCTTAGTGAAGATCTTGACAGCATATCGCTGTCCGGTCGCCTTCTCGACGCAGAGGTGGACCTCGGCAAAATGACCCTTGCCGAGCTTCTGGAGAAGTGTGTATTGTTGCAAGAAACCGCTCGTCTGTCTGCTGTGAGGATATCGGAAAATAAATCTAGCTTTGCCGTGAATCGCGATCTCGTCCTCATCCTTTAGCTCTCGCCGCTGGTTGCGACCAATGAATTGTTCGTTGACGAAAGTGCCATTCTGGGAAAGGTCCTCCACAATGGCAACGCTGTCTGTGCCTTGGTTCTCGGCAAAGATTAGGCAATGTCTATTCGACACAATTTGAGTATTGACAATGATATCTATGCGATATTAGCATCTCAATTGGGGGGCGAGCGGGAGGGAAAGGGGATAGAGCTGACTTACCACACTCGGGGTGCCGGCCGATCAGGTAGCCGCCAGACGCATGGCCCCTGATCTTTGTGCGCTCATAGGCCTCTTCCTCTCGTGCGGGCGTGCTCTTTCCCTTAGAGCCCGATGATTTCGCATTCGCATCGGCTTCAGCTGAGTCTGGCATGGGGCAGGCAGTCCGTCTCTTCAAGGGCACAGGTCTGTCCCCGTACTGGGGATCCAGGGGTACAAGGTAGCCCCAAATCCCCTCCTTGGCTTCATCTTCAATGTCATCCGCGAATGCCGGATGTTGATCGACGGGCTGTGTGTTCTGCTGCGTGTCGTGGGGAGGCGAGGAGAGCACCTGACTGGGCTCCTCAAGGTCGTCGACTAGACGGGGGGTCGGGTTCTGCTCGAGGGAAGTCGAGCAGGGCGCTGTAAGTTTGCCATCACTCTCGCCCTGGTTCGTCACGGGCGAGGGAAGATGATGCTTGTTCGTAATTGGGGTTTTGAGGATGGTTGCGTCGTCGGTGGTTCGGCGCGGCTTCTTGGTTTCCGTCTCGTCCTCGGGCAAGGAGCCCTTTTCGCTTCACGTTAACAAACGATTGGCCAACCCGCCAAAGGCAAAAAGGGGCGACATACGAGAGGGCGCTTTAGGGTACTCTTTTCACTGGTTGGCGACATGGTCGCTGGCGTTGGCAAGGCCCGAAAGCCGGACGTCGGTGGTGGAGCTCTCAGCTGTTCACGCTGGGATCGAGGCGAGCAAGCAACGATACGTGATGAACGCTGGCCTTCTGGGTCGGCGCAACAGCTGGACAAATAAGAATGCAGTGGTGCCTACCAGGCTCGGGCAAAGGAACCTCAGCTTCAGGCCAGCAAGTCAGCGCAAAGACAGTTCGGAAATGGGCTGACGGTGGATGGGAAAGCAAAGGAAATGAGATGGGGTGCCTGGCGTCTTGCGACTGCTTTTGCACTCGGCGGATAATATGCGAGAGTGACTCGAACGCTTGGAGCGACAGCAGGCAGGCAGGCAGGCAACCAGCGCTACTGAACTCTAGCTCTCAGTGCTGAGCACCCCAGCCCCAGTCAGCCTTATGTACTAGGGGCGCGGGCTACCTACCTAACCACAGGGTACGTGACTTGCCTGCTACCCTCCACTGTTGTCTCAGGTTCTGCTTGCTAAGCCGCTGCTTCGGCGCAGCCAGAGGGGCGCTAGTCAGGGACCAACAGGCAGTTCCGGCCGCTGGGGGCAGATGCAGCACGTCTCCCTTCACAGCCAGCCAACAGCAATGCCATCATTAGCAGCCATCATTAGCATCCATCCCGGTTCTTTTTCCTGTCATTAATGACTGCGTGCGAACGAATTCCGGATTTCCCCCTTCCCTCTCGATCTGTGTAGAGCTAGATTCGCGTCACGACGGCACCTAGCATCGATACCATGACGGCCTAGGACCGTGGCATTCAACACGGAGTGATCAATCGGCGGTCATGGGTGCACATCACACCGGCGCTGAACCCACCCGCTGCCATGCTCAGCCAGCATCCATGCATAATGATGCCCATCGCCACTTTGGCCGGAGTCTGACAGACTCGGAGCATCGTCGCATCTCCCGCCTGCCCCGTCCAAGTGGAAATACTATTAGCCAACCGTTTCGCAAGCCACACCCAGCGCCACATCCGTCTCGGACTAGCAGCTCGGTTTATGCTTCGCTCTCGTTTATAGGCGGTAATGCCTAGTAATGTTCATGACGACCCTTCCCATGCATACGCAGATAGGAAAGACATCCTGCGCTTTGCGAACCTAATGACTGGTTTCTCGCTGCGTCTGCTGGCCTGCATCGGTCTGACCGATGATGGCATGCTCCCCGCTACCTCGATCATTAACTTCCCACATGAACATGTGACAAGCGGCACGTTCTCCGCGGTCACCAGCCACATCACCTGCCAAAGAGGCACAACCACAACCACCACCAAACAATGAAACTCCGATGAGCTCACAACAATCTTGAACACTCCATCGCATTGAAAAAAATACTAGTATTACAGTTAGGATTCAAACAAATATGCAACTAGCCACATCTTGAGCCTCATAAGACACCTAATTGGCTCTAGCTTAGAACAGTCGAGACTCACACACGCACCCTGTAGTTCTTCCCACCATGACCCTGATTATACCCTCTAAGTTCTCCAAGAGAATCAAAGCTGCGCAACCCATACCGGCAGCAACCACGGCAAACCCAAGACTATGCCCTTCTCGTAGCAGTCCAGCGGTGTTCCCCGAACCCGATGTCGTCAACGCTACCGTTGGGATGACTGGACTCCCTGTCGCCAGCAAAATGGACATCCTGGGCTCCGTTGTTTCGGCGCCTACGTTAGACCCCGGAGACATTGGAGAAGCCTCTGGGGAGAAGGTGGAGGATACCCCAGATGTTGTTGTCTGCGCCTCCGCTGAGCTTGCGGCCGGTCCTCGCAACTCAAAGTCACCACCCTCCTGTGTTAGGATGGGCGAGACGATAGACTGCGCTCCGGTTGATCCAGTGGTCAAATCCTCGCCGCAGGTCACGCCTGAATCGAGCCGGCACCATCGGTCCTCACGCCTGGAACGTCCATCTTTCGTTAATAGCAGCTCCTCCACCGGAGACGGCATATGATGAAGAGGTTATGTACATGGCGATACTAGATACTAGTGGTTATGAAAAGCCCAACTTACCATGTTACCCATCCACCTCTATAGATAGCAGCCTCAAGAGCACTGGGTTCACCCGGTACCGGAGGACCCAGCGTGATGCGGCGGTCCACGTCAGGATCGCAGACCTCTGTCGCCGTCACGCCGGGTTGACATTCGAAGGACACCACTGTTGTCTGGCCAGACTCGACTGCGACGACGGACGCGGCCACTCTAGACAGATTCAAGGGGAACCTCACCGGCAGGGATATACTCGTTGGATCACTCGTAGAGCGGCTTTGCGTAGTCGGGGCGATCATGGCAACTAGGCCAACGACCATGATCACCCAGTGAGACATGGTGGCGGTTCTGTACATGGCATTTGGCTGGCTGCTAAGAACCGAGTTGCCTGTGTGAATATCCCATTGATCGAGTTGGTAATTACTGGCAATTCTTTATTCCTATCAGCTGATGCCATGGGAGAACCAAATCAAGAATCCAAACATGTATCGGTTCGCCAGGGTCTGAAGAGGGTTGCAATAAAATGTAACCTTGCTCGGCATTCCCTGCCCTGTCGGACCAGCAAATGGCATAACACACTGGAGACGCAAGGGGCAGGCATTCAGTGGAAAGGAAGGAAGTATGTATACTTGTATTCGCGGTCAACAATGTGTATTCTTCCACCAACAGCTGCCGGGCCAATTGAAGCCAAGAAAAAAACCACCTCCCAACATTGAGCCATTACCATTACTGAGTATCCATCAAGTTGTATACTATACAATGCTTCTTTCCAACTCCCTGCTGATGCTAATAAGGGATATAGCAATGACGCGTCCGGTACCAGTGCCTGCTCAAGACAGCCCTGTCAATCCTAACCTATTACCACCATAACATATACGCAATCAGGCACGACTAGAAAGTGTTTGTGCCACTCGTTAGCCCGTCTTGTTCAAAGTGTCAAGACACCTCCTTAAACGCCAACATTGAACCCAAGGTGTAGGGGAAATGCCCCTGCGCGTCGCTCATCATGTAGGACCCATCTTATCATGAGGAAATCATGTCATCACTGCTTCCCGACTCGGAACTGCCGAACCGCGGAAGCCAAAAGTCATGGTAGCACAGGCTCATGCCCGCCAACCGTTCCCAAAATTTCCTTTCCTACCTCTCAGGAATCGGTGATTTAGCTAGCCTCCCTCCCGCACTCACTCTCTTTTGCAGCCGCGTTTCTCTTTCTCGTTGAAGCCTATCATTTGCGCTTAGATTAGAAGGCAGCGAGGGCACGGAATCCGAGGGACCACCAATAACCTTGCCTCGTTTCTGGTCTACATAAATCTGAGCGTATCGACCGAGCGGGAATGCGGGCGGTGTTGAAGGTATCTCGGCCCCGTTTTGGGTAAGCATTTCTGCAACAGGGAACGGGACTATTTTGGTGTCCGAATCGGCCGTAGTCGGTGTTGGTGTTGGTGAGGGCGCAGCAGGATCTGCTGCCGCTAATGCCAGCCACATGGCATGCGTTCCTCGCATCCTATCAACGACGTTTGGGTTCGCTCTCAGCGCCAAGGCGTACAGCACTTGCTGAATCTCGTTCTTTTTGATCGCGGCCAAAAGGGTTTCGTCCGGGGTGCCGTATCTTGAAAGGGTCGAAGAGATCGGCTCGACATAAGCTCTGTCGACATATTTGGCCGTGATGAATCGTAGTCGCTGTTCTCTCGTCGCGTGAGGCCCTGGCTTCAGAGAGGGATCAAGCTTAGCCTCCCAGACCATGTTGGAGACCCTATTTCCGACAAGGAGGAGAACCTCGACAATATCGACAGTAAAGGATTTGATGTCCAACGTAAGGGACCGGACTTTGCTAATATGCGTGCCGAGTGACCGGTGAATGCCACTGCATTCGATGCACAAAATGATGCCGAGATTGATGGATACCCATTCAACCTTGGAACCAGAGCCACAGTCCGCACACCATGTGTTGCCCTTGTCATTTTCCCTCACCATCTGCAGCAGCTTGTCTGGATTTTCATCATACCCTGAGCTAGCCGTTCGGACAGCTGGAGGCCGAGCGCCGACGGTTATTCTACGCACCGGCAGACCATTTCCCGACCCGGAAGCTGCATGGTTGTGATTGGAGTGGTGGCCGTGGCCGACAGACTGCGATTTGCCCGTTAGGATTGATCCAATATCCCTTTTGAAGGATGAATCGCCTGTTGATCTCGCAGTACTGGGCTTCTCGGGAACTCCTCGTCCTTCCATAGCACTTTGAAGAGCATTGTTGATAGAGGAAATCCAACTGTTCATATCCTCCTCAGACGTGGCTTGGTAGACACGCTTGAAGTTTGGCGTGATAACTTCAAAGCAGAATCGTCGTTCAGCATTTCTCGCCTCTCGAACCGAGGCCATCCTGAGGTCGATTGGGTCCATGTGTAAGTCCAATCTTTGCTTCCAGTTGCTGTACTCAGACAACCTTCCTTGATCCAGTACGATCCAGAACCTAAAAGTAAGTTAGCCATCAGCTAAAATCAATCCACATGTCGCTCTCTCCAATGAGTCCGGGTACACTTACTTGTGCCATCCCTGCTTATTTAAATTTCTGGGATCTACGTGCCCGCCTGGACGATTCAAAGCCCAGAGCAAGCCTTCCTTACGTTGCGCGACTGACGTTTGTGAGGCATTGGGTTCCTCGAGATCCCGGATGCCCTTGAATTTGGTACTTGGTGCCGGGCTCGGTGCTTGCGACTGGCCTAAGCTTCCAGGAGATCTTGAGAGTTCCGAGGTCGTAGAAGGGACTGCGGTATTAGAACCAGCCGACGAGGCAGCTCGCAACTGAGAACCTGTACTATCAGCTCGGCCAAGATCGCCATCTGAGGCGTACCCCTGAAGTGTGCCGTTAGAACTTGTCGTGGCGGGTACCGAGCTATTGATGCTGGCCTGTTCGGGCTCAAGGTAAGTGCCGTTCGTCTTCTCCAACAGGCGTCGCTTCTCCTCTCGCTCCCGCCTTTGATACTGATACTCTTTGTCTGCCTCCAAAACTTCGGACGATAGTGCCTCCAACTGTGGGAGCAACCCTTCGATCTTCTTGGCCGTTGCCATAAAAGTTTTAGTCTGGGTATCTGCATACTTTGTCAAATGAGACAAAACCTCCTGCTCTTTGCGTCCGCCATGAAGATCCTGCATGAAGCTCGAGTAGTCGAATCGCTTGAGCTCAAAGGTCTTCCTCTTACTCTGGTATTTTGTATCGCTGTCGGCCAGTTTTTTAGCCTTGACCGAATCTTGACGCTGACCAAGATACCTGGATACGTATGCATAGTAGTCCTTGCTCTCCTCATCAAATTCTCGTTTCTTGGCCTCGGCTTGCTTGATGTCTATGTGGTATAATTTTTGCACTGGCTCAATAACGATTTTCGACATGGCTATAGTGTTTTGCCGTTCATAAGTCAGTATCTCGCGTGCGATCTTGTCGAAATAATGCTCCAGGGCAGGCCGGACTGCACTGGCATTCGTAGATGACACTTCACGTAAAGACTCAATGAACGAAACAAAGGCCTCATTGGCTTCTGTTTGGGTAGCATGGACCTGTTCGGCCTTCTTCAGCACCTTCTTCATCTGCGTTCGCATATTTCCTGTCTTTTGCTCCAGAGCCTTGAGCGCGGCTCGAAAGACTGGCCCATCATCGGTGACTAGGACATCGTCGCCAAATTTCGGGGTAGGGACGTCGACCTTGACAGGCATATTTGTGTGAGCCTGGTTAGGCGCTAGGGAATTTGCATCGTGCGTTGGAGCCATTGGCGAGACAGGTTCGTCGATTTCAGTGAGGCGGGAATCCACAGACTGTGACGAGGCGACACGGATTCTGGGAGGCGACCCCATCGTCAAGGGGCCCAATGAAGAACTGACATTGCTCTGAATCGCTGCAGGACCTACCCTCCTGGTCAGTAGGTTGGAAACAAGGCAATCGGCAAATCACACATACTCGATACCCAGTACGAGAAACTGGCGAGGGCATTTAGCCGGTGCGCTCTAGAATCATACTCGACAAACTATTACAGGTTAGTAGCCAGACAAGCGCGGCCAGGAATGGGGTTCACTGATCGTACACTGCAAGAGTTCCTCCAGCCTCCACCCTTATCCTCCATCGCCTTTGGAGGTTTCCATTTCCATGTCCAGTCAAATGTTACTGCCGGGAGTCCACTTGTAGAATAGTCGCCAACAAGTTCCACATTGGCGTTCTTGTGTAGGTTGGGATCAGCATGAAACTCCCGTGTGACGAGGTTCTCGACCTCGCGGGTGGTGGATGCATAGACGTAAGTGAGACCTGTGATACTTGACTCAACCGGTTGGGGCTGGGGGTCTTGAGTGGCAGTGCCAGGCGGCGACGCTTGCGGTTGGCGCATGACGAATGTGAAAGTGAAAATGAGTTCGTCATCGTTGCTAAGTTTGATCAGGAAGCTTGGGACGCCAAGTGTACTCGGTTCGGGATCCTGTAGTGCAGCCTGGTCAGCGGAAGCGTCGCGGGCTGAGTTGGTAGACAAGACGGACTTGAATGAATTCTACCGGGGTTGTATCGCCCGATACTCTGGTAGCGGAGAGCAGTGTCGCGGGGAACTCATTTGGGGATATCTGTACAGACGATCGCTTGCGAGGGTTCGTGATGACTAGGGAAGATATGGTGACTGCGATCAGAGGTTAGCAGGTTAGCTGCAAGGCGCTATACGGCTGCCGAGAGGACGCACGGCGGTTCTGGTCCTTCAAGAAAAGAGCAGCCCCATCATTGGGCCGGCTGCTCACGTTCCCCATTGCGAGGAGAGCCGCAGGTCGAGGGTGAGGTGGATTTGGCAGCTGCTGCAAGAGGGGTGGTGGTGATGGCGGCGGGCCAAGATATTGCGTTGGGTGAGTTCGCGGGGCTCAAGATGAGCATATGGCGCCGACATCAAGCGAAGGGACTGGCCGAGGTGCGCCACCATAGAGCTGCGTCAGTTTGGGGTCTGAAGGTCGGTTTGGTCTGAGAATATTAATATGCAGGTGGACGCGACCGGGTCAGCTATCCTGTTGAGTCGGATACGAATAATGGGACGGTTACTGCAACCGGCTGGCTGGAGGATGAATGGAGAGGAGGTGACTGGCAGCGGTCGTGGAGGTGGTGGTGGCTGGACAATTCGCGACAGCCAAGATACGAGACAACGGGACTTGCTACCTCAAGCTGGAAAGGTGGATTGGGAAACCGGCAAGGGGTGCTGACCACCAGGAGCAGATGGGCAGGATGGCGCTGTTAAATTTGGCCGTTTTACGTAGAAGGCGCAAGAGGGAAGACGTAGGATGGTACCGCAAGCAGAGGTACCGCCAGATAGGCCAACCTGTCACCAGGAAGGAGTGTGTTTCGAGGCACATGCATTGATGCGAACGCAACTTGGCCCACAGCTGCCCACCTAGAGTTACAGGGGCCTCAGGCCTACTCCGGGTCCGCCTGCGCTTGGAGCGCTAGCAAGACCAACTGCAGGTGTTGTACATTCACTGCAGTTAGCCCAGATAAGCGGTACCTCGGCGCCAGGTAGCTGGCATCCCAAGATCGTCGCTACTAACATGTTGGATTTCGACGTCGAGTGGGCCATGGGTTCGAGGCGAGGGAGCCAGAGCCCGTTCCTAACTGGGTCGATGTGCCATGGATGCATCGTACCGTCGTACCATTTGCTGCCCCTCGAGAGTTAATCTGTGCTGGAGGTCCTGGGCGGGGAGCTGCCACTCGACACCTACTTGGGTACCACAAGATACTGCGCTGCCAAGTATCTCCAGCCAACCATGGGACCAAGCCGCCCGCGCCAGGCAGGCACAAGACCGCCGGCTAGAAGCTGCGGCGTGCCACAGAAGGTCACTGGACGAGCTGCCAGGCAGACAGGTGCCATTGCAATCAGGATGCCTCGATACGACAGATGTGTTCATGGGTGCCTGTGAAACTGACAGTGACAGGGAGCCAATCAGCAAGCACATCACATTGGTTGCTTCCCTGGCAGCACCTGACGTCGTCGCAAGCTGGCTCCTTTCACTGCCAGTGCCGAATCACGGGCCAGATCTCTCCCTGTAATAGCCATGAGCTTAATGGAGGAAACTGGAGCAAGACGATGCTTAGGCGTGTGTGTTGTAACAAGATTGCGTTAACGCATCATGGTGCAGCGCGCAGAGTGGATGAACTACACCACAGAACCCTTGAGAAGCATCCTGAAACGGGTCTCTGGCGAACCCCTAAATTAGAACAAGCGGGGTATGTAGGTACCTAGGCTGAATTGGCGAGGCTGCCCATCAAGTGGCTGAAATAAAGGGCAGGGACTTGTTCCCTTATCCCTTATACTAAACACAATAACAAAAAGAAGGACAAATTATTCTACGATATTTAGCCTGGTATGTGTTATCACTGGGTTAATTGTTTCGATATTGTGTTGAAATTCAACGATGGAGGTTTTGGGCATGCCATGTTTTATGTTAGTCGCTTGCCTTTCAGATAATCTTCCGCGCGATTAAGCCAGCAATGATGACCCCTGCCTTCGCCCGTGGCTTTGGTGTTCATGCTCAACCTTGAAACAATGCGGTGCCATTTGGCATGGAGCTACATACGCCCGCATATAAAGCAGACACTTTGATCGCAATGAATCTAGGTTCCCAACAAAAGGCGGGGGGGGGAGGTTCTTGGAGATTTTGGGTGGGGCCATGGCTCGGCCGGCACACAAAACAGGCAGAGCATCTTGTCATGCAACACGCCATGGCATCTAGAGTATTGGAGATAGAGGGGACTGTGCCGTTTGTTCTATATCTACTAACAGCCTATTTGTCGGTGCATATATAGAAACGTACACGGCAAGCGATAAGCCGGTAGCAATGAGGGAAAGCTTCAACTACAACGGAGTTGTGGCCGTAGGAGGCAGCCGGTCTCGGTATGCAGATCTCGCCGTGTGTGTCAAACTTCACGGATTGATTTGCCAAGATACGGGCGAGCGGGGTCAAGCCATATAAACTCTTCGTTATAAAGAGAGAGTTCATGAGCAATAAGAAAGCATCTCGTCACTTCGAGCCCGGAACTATGCTGATTCAAAGCTTATCTTCTGTAGAAATTCCCAAAATTGCATAAGATCCCAAGATGAATTGAATGAATAGAACTTGTCTTTACAAAGAGGTAGGAGCCGAAATGGGGCGTAAAGAAAAGGTGCTCATGCAAGTCGCAATTACATCTTAATATGTGACTAGAACTAATATTGACGAGGCCGGATATTATAGAGGGATAAGCAAAGAGAAATTAACCAAGAAAAGTCCTGTACTAGGATATTACTCGGTTGTATCGATGTCTATCTCACTTGTGGAGGGGTTGTCCAGCTTGGAATAGGGCTGACTCCACGAAACGCTACTAGAGCTCTATGGCTTATTGTTTTTTGTGGCAAACCAGGGAACCCTCTTGCTACCAGTAGGTCAAGTTATAAATCATCTATTATACTTATAGTTCTAGAATTTCTACAAAGATAAAGGGGAGAGAGAAACTATCTAGAGAGCATAATAAGAGCAGACCTGCTTTAATAGTTTGGTGTATAAAAGAGGTTAGTCTGATCTCATCTCAATAATGGAAGTCATCCAACACAACCTGAGACCAATCTACGCACAGTGGGTTGCCAGAATCAAAACGCAATAGAAAACACCAGACTCAAGACCCAAATGCTAGAACAAGCTGTGAATGAGACTTCCTTTTGCTATTTTACTCTATCTTTGTGTAATTCATGGGTATCTTCTAGTGTGTATATAGTAAACAAAAGACTCACACCAAGCTCAAATAAACTAAACCCAGCTTATACTATACATTACCAGGAAATGCCCAACCAGTGTCCTGCTAAAATCTCAGCGATTTCTATTCAATTTCCAAACAACGTGAAAAATACAATCAATTTTCGTTGGAATTTTCCGCAACCACCCCTATTTTGTCCACCTGTTTGACAGCTGGGTGGTATATCGCCTTCTTAAATCCATTATTAGACTCTTTTGTTTTCACATGGACAACAACATCGAATTTCGAAGGATCTCGGGGGTTGAAGATACTTCTGATGAGTCCGGGCTTGCACTCGCCTTTAAACGTTTCGGTACGGCCGGGAATCAAAGGATGATGAAACCAGCCTGGAGTTTTTCGTCTCTCTTTCGGATTATAAATAAGTTTGGACTTGGTCCTCAACAGCAAATTCTCCTTATTCCAAAAAGGACTGGGATATTTCGGGCGGGGAACGCCTTTCGTGGCTCGACGAACGTCAGGTCGAGTATTTGAGAGGCATATCCCTTTTTGCTGCTCCCGAACTTCCCTCGCATATATCCAAACTTGGCCCTGTTTACCATCACAGGGTGTTTGGTCAAGGTCGTACTAATATTTACCGAATGAGACCTGGAATCCAAGAAGACGGGGAAAGACATACATAAGAAGAATCAGTTGGCCAACGCTTCAGACTTAATGTACTTTCAGGAGCTATTGATTCAGCATCGCCCGTTTTAGAAGTTGTAATCTCTGAATCGGTCATGATAGGAGAAGACTGCACTTGCTGGTGCGTTTGGGTAGAGCAAAGAGAAGTGATTTCGGCTGGAATAGAATACCAACGGCCATGGGAGTCACATTATATTCCTAGAAGGTATAAATCCTAGATTTGCGGTATGAGGCGCTCTAATAAGATAGATACAGACAGCACATGGTAGAGTTAACGCTGCCATGAAAGGCTATGTGTTCTAGATCAGTATGGAGTACTCTTACATGTGGTCTTTGTTAACCCAACAAACGCATCACAAAAGGAGTAGATATATAACCGCCACGTCTTAGTCTGACTACTAGGCTAGGTAGCTGTTAGACCAGCAAGTAGGTGACACAGGAAATGGCACACCAAAATGAAGACCTAATAGTCATACTAGTCAAAGCATCTACGTGCCGTTGATGAAATCCGGCCTGACGGGCGGACCAACGGCATTGGGCTGTGGTATGAGCTTATCGTAACATATGGAGTCGTCAGATATTTGTGTTCAAGAGCTTCAAGTGTATAGCATAGTTCCTGCTATGCAATTTAGATAGGACGAGCTATTGATTGAGCAAGTCGTCTGCCATGAGATTCTGGTACTGAGGCTAGATCTCCCAAATACACTCACGGTGTATTTATCGGATTCAAACAGCTATTGAAGAAATCGCAGAATGCTTTATGATGTCGTTTTATAAAGCAATGCTCACTGATGATGAAGATAGTTTAGGCAGCAGAGTGCGTCGGCGGCACCTAATAATTGGTGGGCTATCAGATGTTTGCTGCATAGTTATGAGTATTTTTATCACATACCAGTAAGCTAAGTGCTGTGCCTGAGTTGGCAGATATGTACAAAGTCTTGTTTATCTGCGCCTCTCCCTCATCAGGCATGGCAATGCCATTTCTCAACGGGCTCGCCTTCATTGCAGATCAGATATTGAAATTAGGACCAAGGGGAAAAAAAAGGCAAGAAATTACAGACTGAGGGGCTACTAGGAACTTTCTGGTAGACAGCTGCCAAATGCTAGAAACCCATTAGTGTACACCTGTCTTACACATCTACCTATCCATTTATGCACCCCATTAAGACTTTATAGCCGGAATCCTGGCCATGGACTCTCCGGTCAACTAAGCTGAGCAGAAGACTAAGCTTTGATAAGCTCAAACAGGGAGGGGGGGTGTTGATGTCGCAGGAGTGGGTTCGTGGCTTGCTGGGAAAAGAAAAGAAAGCGGTTTCGTGACAATGGGGCGCTGGCCAGATACGAACTCATTGTTCGCCCCAGGGCGCTTGTCTGGATAACTCAAAAGCACCAAACGATCTGTGCGTATTGCCGGTAGACAAATCCATAGGCTGAAACTATTCAGTGAGGAAGAGAAGAGGCACACCTGCAGGGATGTTGCGGCCCCTTCGCCGGCTTGCTTTAACGAGCTCGTTTCACTGAAGGAGGGGGGGGGGGGGGGTCAGAAGCTCTTACTACCAGCAACTGGAATTAAGGCAGCATGCGTTCTGTGGAGGCTACGCAATAAAATGAGAGCCTCCCTTGAGCCGCTACTTTGAGGGAAATATTACCCTGGTCTCGCTCCTGAAAAGAAAGGAGAGAGAGTGGGACAAAGAAAGAGAGGAGAAAGAGAAAGAGAGCAAAGAAAAAACGGGAGAGGAGAGGAAACAACAAAGAAAATAATGAGGAACAAGGGCGGCTTTTAGTAGTGACAAGCCTGAATCTGAGTTATAAAGTGACCTAACACAACGGATAGCTAATATTAAACCTTCACAGAAGAACCATTGTCTTTTTTGTATATTTTCAATTTAGTTTATAGACACTAAGTAAATATACCTTTGCGTTAGTAACTGTAAAGTTTTGTCTGTGAGTAATGCAGCTTCTAAAAAAGCTCTCGGTTGTACTTTTATATCGTCTTTCTTCTCTTCGAAAGATAATATCAATGGTTCCACGGGAGTATATAGAGTCAAATAGTATCGCGTAAATTAAATTCCAACTCTGTTCTCTGTAGAATCAAAATTAAATCTGTTCTCTTTAATTCTTAACATTTTCCTCTACTCATTCTTCTGAAAACCGAAAATTATAGACGACATGGACCTCATGGACAACATAGACGATATAGACGACATAGATAACATAGACAATATGAACGATACAGTCGATAAGGACAATAAAGACAACATAGATAACACGGATAGCACGGACGACACGGACGATACGAACGACACGGACGGCACGAACGACACGGACGGCACGAACGGCATGGGCGCTATGGACGCTATGGACGCCATGGACGATACGGACGACACGGACGGCATGGACAACATGGACAACATGGACAACATGGACGATACTGATGACAATTACGGCTTGGACAGCATGGACGACACAGACGACACAGACAAGTACGGCATGGACGACAAGGATGACAGGGCCGGCACAGTCGCCCTATACCGCATGGACAACGATGAGGTCCTTCGACTCGCCATGCTCAACGCGCTCAATGACGAAAAGAATTATCTAGTTCCTGTAGAGGCACGGAACCTAGACCTGCATCACGCAAGAATTGCTTCTAATGTTCTGCTTAGATTCAAGCTGAACGATAGTAAGCCCGACTTAGACATGGAAGAATTCTTCTTTTCCGCAATGGATGTCTGCGAAATGTTAATAAGTGATTATTCATTCGCCGAAAACCATTGCCGGATCCTGGCTATCGCTTGTGATCTGTGCTACCGCCTAGACGGAGGCGTCAATGTATGGTAAACCAAGGAAATCACGCACGATATGGCACGACACTAACGAGATGCTATCATTCATAGGACCGATGGGGTCCATCTACCCTACCCGAACGCTGTACCAAGACTTGGGATGAGGACGGTAAGAAAATAGTTCACCCCTTACTTGAGACATGGGACTAATGCCATTGAAGTTCCCGACGAAACACATGAAAACGCACAGCTATTCCTCTTCGGCTGGGAGAAACTGAATTCATTTCTCTCACATCTTGTGAGCCGTGGATATCGCCATGGCCTACGCCTGGGCTTGTTGGAGATCGGGAGAGCACTCGAACAGCCTATAGTAACAGGGTGTCCTTTTTTAATGTGCTGCCGGGTGCGGGTGGCCGCGGAGTGGATAATAAATTGCGGCGACCTTTTATTGACGGCAATGATCAACCAGAAGCACGACAGCGTCGATGAAGCCATGAAACCGGGCCCGATCTACGGGGAAGGACTCCCCTTTTTGAGCCCGGATCGGTGGGGATTTTGGAAGAAGCGGCTCAGAAAGTTTAAAGTGAGAGGTGTCTTGGACTTCGAGACTGAAATCCTTGTGGCCATTGCCTTGAAAGTGATGCGGGAACCTTCCAGATTGGAGAAGCGGAACTCATCGCTGGATCGTGCTATCAAGAAACAACTGGGGTTTGTTGACACAAAGGGTCGATCCAAGGCAATTGATGCCGCGAAAGCACGCTTCCGCCGAGGGACTGTCTGCCGCTCTTCGAGATCAAGGTTGTCGAAGTCTGGTAGACGTAGGCAGTAGGTTAGCCTGTTCCTCAAGTGCGACTCATTAGCTCAAGTCGCCCGTGACACACTAGAACCCCCAATTAGCAGCTCGTGTTTTTTATCTGGTAATGTTATTCAAATTAACCGCTGAGATTGATGGCTGTTACTCTCCATGTCGCAAGTTTCAAGCTCGCGTTGGATTGCAGATGAGAGTCAGAAGCATCTAGTATCTAAATTTCTCTAGTATTAAAAACAAAACCATCTATATCACAAGCCCACATATTGAAAATTAGAGATCTATTCCATTTTACCGTACTCTGTCTGATGTTGCCTAACCGGAAACTAAATGTACATACATATCAGCTCGCAAAACATGCCCAAACTGTTAACTACCTGCTTCCACTAGCTGTCTTGTCACCAATTCCACCCATTTTATTATTCTTATGGCTGGGTAGTATTTTGCCATTCGAAACACTTCTGGCCCTAAGATAGGTTGACCGACGTTAAAGTCAGAAATATCGCTAGGAACAAAGAAGCTCCTTATTATAACAGCGTGATCTGTGGCGCTGAAGAAGGACAAGGCTAACAAGCTGCTGCACTAAGGTTGATGGAGGAACAGTCCGCATAGGAGAGACGGGCTTCATCTATGGAACAAATACGTGAACATAGGCGGCGCAGGGTAGCGCTCCCTGGCCAAACAGTGCAACTTATGAAGGGTAGCATGGCACATTGACTCCAAGAGCTCGGGTTGTGGGAGCGGTGGATAGTGGGTTAGGCAGGCACCGTAGTATCAATTGTCTTCACAGCGCAGGCCACCGGCATACCCAATCTGCCTCCAACACGAGATCTTGCGTCTCCCGCTCAGCGAAGTTATAAAGGTGACAACAGAACGCACTGATAATAAATGGTGTTCTACATGTGATAGTTGCTGGTGGAGGATGACGTTGCTGCGACCCGTTCTTGGCGCTGGCCAGGCTCGCGCTAGTCTCCCCTGCTGTATGGCCCTATTGGATGCTGTCCGTGCGTCCCCAGAGCAGAAGGTTAGGCGCGTCCTTCAGCTTGGCACCCGCCGTAGGTAATCCCGGGCGCTAGACCGCAGCTGTGTCTCTTGGTCAAGTTTGCTGGAGGATTGGGATTAGGCGGGACTTAGGTACCGCGCAGCTGCAACTCCACCACATAACGATTCCCATCTTGCCCTCGCTGGTGTCAAGCTCACGCCTCAGACGATTCCACCCTAGTTGGGCGCCTATCGACCCGTTGAATTCGATCCCCTGCGCTCTTCGACATTGCACCGGGCCAGTTCGCGCGGTCCTCACCGGTCCTTTTTATCGGACATGCTGCTGACCTCCCCTCCTGCATGAGCACACGGCATCCGCCACTTGTCATCAGGCCAGCCTCCACCGCCGACGCCCGACAAACGTTCAGCCATGAATCGAGGGGGCACGGGTTCGTCGCGCCGGACGGGTTCCATGGCCAGTCGCCCTGTTGTCGACGAGGACGAGGCCCGAAGTTTCGCCCTGCGATCGGCATACCTGCATTACCTCTTGCAGCCCAAGGCCAAAAGGAAACAGTATGTCGCCGCATCGAAACCGACCGCTCGATCGCAAACAAGTGTTGGGCAGCTTGTCCAAGAGTATGGTTCTGGGAGTGCGTCTAGCTTGAAGTTGCCTCATAGCTTTGCAAATCCTCTGATCGAAAGGGTGGGCGGTGTCCTTCGAGGGAGCGAACGCTTACCCGGCTTCAACGATGCGGCAGTCAAGAGGAGTTTCGCCGAGGCCTATATGGCATTTTCCGAAAAGAACTTCCGCAAGACGATTGATAAGGAGAGAAAGTTCGAGCCCCTGGTGCTCATCTTCTACTCCCAAGCTACCAAAGCAGCACAGAAGGGGCGCGCACCTGACGACGATTCATGGAAGCTCCTTCCCGACCGCCATCTGGCGCTCTTCGTTAGATTGGCCGTACAGGTTTTGAAAGATCAAGGCCATGATCGCGATCGCCCAGAGCTTTTGGCGAGACTCAAGACCCTTGAGAATAAGCTGTTGACAAATGACCAGGATCTGGTGGGGGGCGGTTCAGATGGCGGTGGCACTACTGTCGAAGTCGTCGTTCCCTTGAGTTATGATGTCAAGGATATGCACCTTGTGCAAGTGGTTGCTCACATGTTCGGGCTCGGCATGTCCCAGGCACAGGCCGAAATAGATGCGAACCGCAAGGTATGGACTGAGGAAGCGGCTTTGAAGGATCTCAAAGCCTACCAGCTGCGCTTGAGTTCCAATCTTGGCGGCACTCTTTCTCCCCAGGATTTTGATCTCGACGAGTCTTATGATGAGTGGAAGAAGTCAGAGGCCCCCCATCTATCCCAAATGATGCTGGATATTCTGACTGCTAAGCCCACTTTGGCCAAGACCTCGACTGCTCCGGTGTCTGGCCGACCACAGTCCGTATATGGAATCGACCATTCCCACGATTCTTCCCATGATGACTCCGCCATGAGCCTCGCGTCTCTGAACATCGGGGACTCCACGAGCATTCGGACCGTGGATGATGCCATTTACACCTTCATCCCACCTAATCCGAGAGCCTTTTTCAAGTATATTCTACAGCAGGCCATGTCTTTTGACGTACTCCACGCAGACCCTGAGGCAGACTATCAACCACTGTCGAAACAGTCCATAGAGCTTTTGACTGAGTTGTGTGTAAGATGGCGTATCCCGCAGTCTTCTCGCCTGATTGCCCTTTTGGAAGTAGCTGTACGCAAGTACCGGGAGCAGGAGCTTGGCGCTGAGGAGTTGGACGCTGTTTTTGATTTCATCAAGGGTCCCCAGCCAGAGCTAAAGAAGTTGCCCCATCTCCATCACCATTCGACTCCATTGTCAGAAATCGACCCCAGCCGATGGACGCTACAAGACCTCGCTGCCTACCGCCGTACTTTGCACACGGTCTATGAGTCTCTCCTGATCGAGCTTTATAACCTTCTAGAAAGATGCTACGACACAAAGGCTCCTAACATCGCCCCCGTCATGTTCATTCTTGAAAACCATCTAGCTAGCGACCCTTCATTTAGCCCCAACCCAGAGTCTGAGCAGAAATTTGCTGAGCAGCTCACCCAAACCCTCCGCCAGAGAGCAATGGATGTCTATCGTGAATACATGGAGAAGGAGCTCCCAGCGCAAAAGGAGAACTGGGACTTTGCCCATGTTGTGAAGTTAGGCAAAACCGTCACCAAACTCTGCGAGAGGATAAGAAAGCGATATAGAAAGATGCCCGAAATTATGGGTGTAAACTCCCTCGCTATCTTGGTCCAGGAAGTTTTCCCCAGCTTTGAAGAAGACGCCAACGCCATCATCATTTCCATTATGCAGCAGGTCCACGATGAGGGCCTGGAAATCGGAATGGAAGATGGCTTTGAGCTGTACAAGGAACTGGTAGAGCTTCGAAACATCCACCGCGAATCACTCCCCCCCGACCAGCCCTTTGCCTTTGACATTGAGTACCTGCTCGTTGGCTTCGTCTGGCGCTGGATTGATAACGCAGAATCAAAAGTAGAGACTTTTGTTGAGGAAGCTATTAAACAAGATCAATTCCAGGTCCGTACCGAGCACCCAGATAACATCCCAGACGATTCAGAGCGGCACAGTGTTTCGATCATTGATCTTTTCATGCTCTTCAACCAAAGTCTTAACCAGATTCTGTCTTTGGAATGGGGTAATGACGAGGATCATGCCAGGTTCATGACTGCTCTCGGAAAGACATTTTCTGCCGGACTTGGTAGGTACTGCGAGATCGTGGATCAGCGATTCAATCATGAGATGGACCGTCCCTCCGCCGAGGAGCTGGCTGCCCAGAACAAGTCCACCCAGGAGAAATGGATGCAGTATGCCAAGGATGCCTGGAACAACAAGGAAAAGGCCGAGCCCTTCCAATTCTACCCCGAGGTGAGTGAGAGAACGACATACACTGACTGCCACCCCTCCCATAGCTTTTAATACCATGCTGACTTCCAAACTCTTGCTCCGATATAGTCCTTTGTCAAACTCAATAACATCGAGTATGCAATGCAAGAGTTAGATAAGCTAGAAAAGACGATGAATGTCGACGCTTGTGCGGCCCTAATAGGGAAGGTGGAAAAACCGAAGAAATCAAGCAAGTACACGTTTACCATCAAGGTCATAGAGGCAGAAGATCTCAAGGCTTGCGATGCGAATGGGTATAGTGACCCCTATGTCGTATTCGGAGACGAGTATCAGAAGCGCCTTTACAAGACGCGCATCATTCCCGCGAATCTCAACCCACGCTGGGATGAATCTTTTGATGTCACAGTGCAAGGGCCGGTAAACGTAATTGCAACAATTTGGGATTACGACACGTTCGGTGACCACGACTACGTTGGCAGGACGTCTATCAAGCTCGACCCTGTCCACTTCAGCGATTATCTCCCCAGAGAGTTCTGGCTGGATCTTGACTCGCAGGGCCGTCTACTCATCCGAGTGAGTATGGAAGGAGAGCGTGACGACATTCAGTTCCACTTTGGCAAGGCGTTCAGACATCTGAAGCGAACCGAAAGGGACATGGTCAGGAAAATCACAGACAAGGTCAGCCCGCCCTCATGTTAACTAATCTTGCTCTACCACATTTACTAAAACCGCATAAACAGATGACTGCTCAGATAGGTTTGACTCTATCTCACAATACCCTGCGTGCCCTTCTTGGCACAAACGGTATCGCGGCCTCAGTGACCGGTCTCTGGAGAAAACGCTCCTCAACTGTCACGGCACTGCAACCATCCCAAGTTGATGCTGTGCTGGAGCCGCTCTTGGACTATTTCAATGACAACTTTGCCATCATGAAACAAACGTTGACAGATGCAACCATGCTTGCGGTCATGCAACGTCTTTGGAAGGAAACACTGATGGCTGTCGAATCGCTCCTTGTCCCCCCACTATCAGAGAAGCCTTCCACCGAGAAGCCGCTGACACGGCAAGAGCTCGACGTGGTGTATCGCTGGCTCGACACACTGTTCAAGTTCTTCAACTCCAA